TTTTTAGTTATATAAATATTCTCATCAAAATGTTATAAATAAAAAACTAAGTCTTTTTTAGATTTAGCAAGAACAAAATCCTAGGAAAAATTAGATGACATAATTCATTCACATTCGTCAACAATTGTCAATTAAAATATTATGCTGGTCACTAAATTTCATGATACTAATATGAGTATAAAGAACTTAGATTAGTATTTTTAATTTTATTTATAAGAAATATTTCTTATAATTTATATGCTTGCCGGCAATGAGTTGTACCACATTAAAATCCATTTAAGTAGTTTAATAATTTCGTCAACCTACGATTGCTCAATGCCGATTGTGTTGCATAACGTATTTAGCCGCCGTTAATATATTTTATTGTAGTCTGCGATCTTATATTAGAAATATCTTGGCCGTTGGGAATAGCAAGTATTACTGACGTGTAGTGTTGTCAATTGATCACGAAGATAGGACCAATAAATTAATATTATATTATGACTCGTTGAATGGTGTTTTTTTATATTACATGCGCAATGTTTCATCTCCGGCATTGTTCCGTTAACGTATTGGATTTTGCCTGGAGAAAAGTTAACACTAAACAATATGCAGATATTTTATGGAAATTTTGTAAACTTTTCATCATCCGTTCGGCAACAGGAGCTAATGTATTTGTGTCCTTGAGAACGACGATCATACGTGCATGATTAACTATTTGAAAAACTTCATCAAGTTAGTTCCTTCAATGATTCCTCAGATTACTTAAATTACTGTGTTTTTCATTAAATGCCAAATCAATGATTGCACTCAATCAACATACATTTATACTCTAATGCAAATTTGGATTATTTTTCATATTAAAATAGTATTGTTATGAGATGATTCAGTATTTGGTGTTTTAGCGCAAGACCTGATCAACCTTTGAATTTTGGCTTAAACAGTACAGGATGATTTATTAATATAAGACACTCATTTTATCTTTAAATAATTGTAATGTTGTAGTTTTTCTTTTTGGAGACACTTTAGTTAGTTTTTCAACAATATTTAAAAATTACTAAGTATTTACCTTTTTTAATATTTTCTAGAGCTGAGTCAACTTAAGGGTATCTTAAATTGTAACGTGTATATTTGTTTAACTACTTAAATTAAGAATTATTTGCTGAAAATGTTAAATGGTCTATAGCCGGTTTAAAAGCTGATTAAAACTGTACGTTACCATTTAAGTTTTAAAAGTTGACGGAAAAATATTAATTAGATAAAAATTTAAATATTGTCTATAATTGTATAAACTAAAGTATATCCAATAAGATATATTAGAACAACGGAACGGTATAAACAATATTTTACAATGATCGTTATTAATTATTATACAAAAAAAATCCTGTTTTCACAAGTTATGAAAGATTTGCAAAAATTATAGACATTCTGTTTTATTTTAAATTTAAATTCAGGCTCAGTTAAAAAAATTTGAAAAAAATGATTGTTCTTGTTGCCAATATGAACATGTTATTAGCGTCGTATTGGGTACTAGACATATCGAGTTTAATTTCCACACATTTTGTCTAGATAGACGTTGTTTACCACCAGCACATTCAAGTCTGTTTATTCGAATAGCATATTATTTAGAAATTAAAAAAATAAGTATCTGGATTCATGCTTATAATTATCAGGTAGTATTTTTAATTTAAAAACCATGCTATAGAATTTAAATAGATTTTTCTATCTTTTTAAGGAATTGTGTGTGGAGGGTTTGATACTTTATAAAGCTAATTCCAAAGTTACTTCTACTTTGAACCAATAAACTGTATAAATAATTATAGGAACTATTTATTTTATCTGGTAAAGGTAAATTGATATTGAGCATCCAGTAAAATACAGTAAAATAAATTTTAACTGCATATGCAGTAAAAACGGTTTTGTGGCATACGCTCCCACATTCATTCAATGATTCTATTCATCAATTAAGTTTTTATAATTAATAATTAATTATTTATTCAATAGTTTTTAGAGGTTGGTATATAGATTTTTGATTTTCAATTTCATCAGAGTTTTGTTTATATAAGATTGAGAAAACTTGATATTTTAGAGCAAGTTCAATTATTTTTTATCAATGTAATAATTATTATTATATACAAAATATTGTGGAAATCACGCTCCTAAAAATAATGTTCTTTTTTTTAGACAGAATAACAAAAATTAAAAAGATTTATAATCAAATTAATTTGCCTCTTATATGGTTTAAATATTTTCCAGCATTTATTTTACATTTTTAAATATCGATATTGTTGCCCATTAAAATCGTAAATATTTTTTGTTAGGTTTATCATTTATCTTGTTCTTATTGTATGACTATAAATAAATTAAGTTTTGCATAACAAAAAGTAGATTTGTCTTATAAGATCGTTTGTTTTTTAATGTGAAAATTACAGATAAGTGATAACTTATCTTCTAGTTATATTTTAAAAGTTTGGTTGTTATCTATATCTTTTAAAAAATGAGATCGAGTTAAACTCATAACATTTTGAGCTTGACACAAAATATTGAACTATTAAGAAACTATAGTAATTAAGTATTAGAAAATTTAGTAGAACTAATAAAAAGTACAGTTTTATAGCACAAGTTATTGAGCTTATAACCACAATTTACTACCACACAATATACAAAACAAATAATAAGAACAAGAAGAACTGTACATTTAAACTTGATTTATGAGATATATTTGTATCTAACTAAACCTGAAACGAATGGTACTAAATAAATGAAACCTATTTATTTTACTATATCTAATCCCGTTGGGATCAGTCACAAACACGAATACACGAATACTCATTTGTCTTATTAAAATATATTGAAAAGAATATTATTACTCCATTGTCCACATAAACTATAAATCAATCAAAAACAGAGACAAAAAAAAATACAAATTACTGTTCAGATATCGGCGAAATAATTAAATATTATTATCATTAAAGGTGAAGTGGTGAGTTATAGCATGTATTTAATGTCCGTTAAATTATTTAATTGGACATAGTACCTTTACAGTTTACCTGCATCATGTAATACTTATATATATTTATATAAGACCATTAGCAAACTTATTCTAAACATAAAAAACATATACATATAACATGTAATAAAAACCGCATGCAAAGTTCTATACAATTTAAATAGGTACACACCGTGCGATAACATATAATATAATATGCCTAACTATATAATCCGATTTATGTATTTATATAAGCTATTCTAATGTCAGCACCTTGACCGTCAAATAAACGTAGTAGTAGGCTAAATACACAAGATTTATTACTGCAACGGTGTTTATAATTCATTGTCATTAGGAAACATTTCATTCTAATTTCTTATATTCTATATAGAACCTATAACGTTTGGTTTTATCTACATGAAATAATAATTGTACTGCACGAGTGGATATTATATTGAAAACGACCTTGCACATCCTAAAGGTTTTCATGTGTAAAACAATAGCGGATTTAATTAATTTCTAAAGTAAATATTTCTTCCTTTCACTGATGTAGTACAAACAATTATATTGTCGGATAGACAATTCGATTTCAGTGAGCGTTATCGTCACATGAATGAACTGTCGCCCCGTTTGGGATTGGACAAACGTACATAAATAATAAACAATACTATAGATAATAACAAAATACAATATTATTGTCGGTATTATGTAATTCGGCGTATACAGCGTGCTAGATCTTCAAATTTCAACTAAGAGTTAATACTTGTCATGATGATTTCATGTCAATATTACTCAATTAACAAGTATCTAAATGTTTGTTTTTCTATACAAATTTTTTTTGTGGAAAATTTGTTTACCTACCTTTATTTAAATTAAATTTATTTTTGATGTACAAAAGTAAAGGTCTTAGTAAGAGTAGGAGTAAAATAAGAGTAAAATAATGTCCTAAAAAATAAAAAAGCTGTACAGAAAATAATAATTTTGCAAAGGATACTTCAATACAAGTTCAAGTAACTGTTACTTGAATTTTTGTATAAAATTTATTTAAAAGCATTTAATGTCTTGCGACTTGTGGGTATCCGCTTGGCCGTTGAAGTTATAAGTAGTTGAGATTTAAATAACTGTATAAATATGGGTTTAATCTAATGTTAGAAGGAGGTATGTTAATTAATAAACATGACATGTCTACTCGGTTTGACTGTTTTTCACAAGTACTAGCGTGACAAATATCAAAGTTAAAAAAACCGAATAAATTTGTATTTTATGGAGGAGAGGTTTAAAACTCTGCCGATTTTAGAGGCAACAAAAAGTGGACTTGACTCTTTGACCTACTGGGTATCAACTAGATATCGTTTTTTATTAATAGATATGCTGATATAAGAAATAAATCTAACAGCTAACTATCGGTGTTGCCGTTGCCGGTCGCCCAGTGGTAAGGAAGATAAATGCAGTGGTAAGCAAATGATCAAAATTTAACTTTTTCTACAACTAGGTATATTCACTTGAATTTCATCACTCATCGACGAATCGAGTATAGATTCTACTTTGGTGTTTAAGACAGTTTTTCTAGTTAGGATTTACATTTCTACTGTTACGATTTGTTTTTGAATAATAAAAAAAATATCTATTCCCAAGTGAACGTAACAAAGGCGGCAATAGACTACACTAATGCAAGCTTTTGTAAAATTACGGCAAAGGACAAATACGCTTGTTTCGGTTTACGTTTATTATTATTCAATGTGCTCGAATAATCGATATTAGCCAATAAGTGCAGCATTTTATATTGAAGTTCGTGTACAGCAATTATTATTATATGGAGAAAAAAGGGACCGACGACAGATATATATACATATATACCTTAGTAATTGTAAAATGGTTCTTATCCGGTGGAAGCAGGAGATAAAAAGAGAGAGAATAGGCCGTTGGCGTTACTATACGAATAAAACCCATATTATTATCCCTACCTTCCTCCCCTGCCACTATATTGCCTTTCATTGCAGCACACCACCCAGTCGGCCGCCATCCAAATCATATCAAATCGTGTCAGCGACGGCTCCTGTGTAGTTACCTCGACGGCCGAGCGCACTTGTAGCTTTAAATCTACCCGAGACCGACCGACCGTTCGCCAATGTTCATTCGCCTAAGTCGCCTGCAACAACCACACACTCGAATTTATCCGCTTCTCCGCTTGAGGTCCTGTACCAAAACCGAGTAAGTAAGTAAGTACACAATTAATTTTTTTTTTCTTTTTTTTTAACGATTTTCGGATAACACTAATAAACAGAATCAATTGATAAGATTGATGCAAAAAAACAGATCTTTCCATTTCCTTTTTTTTTTTCAAAAAGGCCCTTTTACAAGAATTAATAACTCAAAATAAATTAAATAACTTAAACTATTAATTTTTCTTTCTTACAACAAATTGGTAACCCCGCTATGTTTACGTATATTATATTTTATTTTCAGTACAAAAATCAGACAAATGAGTTAGTTTCTTTTTGAATACTGAAAATTTTGCAAATTACCGTGTGCAGTATTGTCGTTGAAAATGTCCAATCGAATTTAAAAATGCTACTCCCCTCTTAATTTTCTCTGAAATAATTATAATTATATAAATGTAGGAATGTAGATTAAGGTCTATTAAATGTACATAGTATAATAATGAGGGGTGCTTGTTGTTTAAGAACTTGTAAGGTTAAAGGTTAACTTGTGCCTATGAGGGTTAGTTTCTATACTGTCGATAACACAAATTCTTAAGTAAAGAAACAAGAACTACGATTGGTTTAGATATTTTGCGAAGCGTATTTTAACAGTTTATATTTGATATGAGTTGTTTAACTCGTTTAGGTTAAAAAAAATAGGTTGGTTCTTATAAAACCAATGTCATGATATGATGCAACTGGCCAACTGTAAATCAACCAATTGATATACTGAGCTGTTAAAGTCTATTGGGCACTTACCTGGGTGAAAGTTTTACGGGACAATCTAACTTGTAGAATAGAGCTTATATCCATAGCCGCACATGACATAAATCGTACAAAGTTAGACTAGTACCTATACTGGCCGAATTTTTACCTGATTCGCTTAGGTATCGGATATGTGCAATTAAAAACAGATTTGTATTCATTAGACGCTTATTTATTTTTAAGTGAATCCTGTTAAAGGTGACACAACGCAGTTATATTCGTAACATACTTGGCAGTATACATATATATGTATAATGTACAATAATATTAGTTTACTAAGCGACTAAGTTTACTAAGCCAGATTGAAAACTAAAATGTTAGGTTTAAACTAACGATTATCTATAATAGGTAAGTACTTACTGCAATAATTATTATGGTAGTCATAAGTATGTATGCTATAATATAACGGATTCGGGGTTAGTGAGTGGCGTTGGTAGATACCGATTTTGTAATGTATTCTATTGACGACAAGACGTATGACGCTAAATATTAATTTCATAATACGATATATTATTATAATTTCACATTGTATATTGTAAATAAAATTAACAGTTTTCAGATAAACGCCTAGCGAATGATTAATGGGTACATAATATTATAACGAATAGAAATCTATCAATTGTCGCATTAAAGAGTAAAGATTGATAATTAACGTTGTTCGAGAACAAAATTGATGTTAATTAATATTTCAAAAAGACAGCGATAATAGTTTGGCGCTTAGATATAATAATTATTATTTTAATTATCATACAATAACAGATGGAATGCGGGAACACTATATATTATTATATAATGATAAATACTATCGTTTGTGAGTTTCAATTGTGATAGTCGCTAACACACAACTGTCAATAATAATAAAAATATTATTATTTATTAGTATTAATGTTCTATATATATAAATATATTTTCGTTGTGAGTAAATAATATAAAATATTATATGAGGAATTAAAAAAAAAACTAGATCGTAATAACCAGTTTACGACCACCTTGGACTACATTGGTTGTAACAAAGTGAGGTCGGATTATAGAATTATTTTATTTTATTTTAAGCCCTTTCACCGACCGCCGTTAAATATACCTACTCCGGAAGTGACTTTACTTTTGCCCATACAGTCTAGACTCTTAGTCCTTCTTTAACGTTTGACCTTTAAAAGAGATTGTTATTGATTTGGTTTTCTAAATTTGAGATTTAAATGATTTGTTAATATTTACAACCATAATATTTATATTCAATTTTCCAAACCTAGCCTAATCACATAACCGATATCATACTTGTTAACTTGTTATATTAAACAATAGTATACACTTTATACTATCAAGTAATATTCAGTATAACGGGTATAATATTTTTATTTTTATAATCGGATAATAAAAACCGTTTGGTATTAGAATAATTTTATAGAATAATATAACAAGTGACGACTTAATACTAACATATACAAAAATTAATACAATGTGAGACACTCATTTTCTCAAAAAATCAATTACAATTTTGTACTTTTTCTCTTTGAAAATATTTTTAATTAATGTTATTGTACAATAGGGGTTCCCTAACTTGTTAGCCGGTGTTGCCCTCTTTTGGGTAAATTTAGCTGCGGTGTCTGGGCTTTCAGTTTGCTGACATTAATTAATAAAACCTCTATTAGTTGTATATAGTCATATATATCACTACTATCCGAAATGTTCTTGTCATAAAATGCAAATTGAAATTAACAAAAAATAAGTTCAAAAAGTAGTATTATTTTTTAAATTTTCGTATGGAGTATGGATTATGGTGCCCCTAGAATAAACTCACAAATGTCCAAAGGGCACCACGGGGGACCCCTGTTATATAATATTATTCAATTACTAAATATCTACTTTTCTTAGTATTTGTCAGAGCGTTATAAACTTTTGAAACTTAAATGGGAACGTATACATTAACTTTTAAATTAAGAATAATACAATAGTATATACTTCCGATACTTTATTGTTAGTGAGAAAAAATATGAAAATAACTTCATTAATTTGATATATGTATTAAAATGAACCTAGGTTTGCGTTTGTTAACGTTTAGCGTTCTTAAATGAGTTGTTCATCAATTGGGCTACTCGTTCTCCTCGCAGGTTTTAGTATTGTGTCATTTTAGCTTCGATGCGTCAGCTGAGAATGTATTAGTTTTGCAATAAAGTGGTTTTTTTTGTGTCTCAAGTCTTGATAACTTATTTTCCTGTCGACCGATTTACTCGAGTAGTAATTCTATCGATCCACAATCGTATCCGATTGGGACTTTGGTGGGTCTGAAGTAGAAAAACACCCAAACAATTTAACAATATATTTTACAATTTAACAATTTAACATATTAAACTTAAAATTATGGCACACTTAATTTTTTTTTTTTTTAAATAGTCGAATTAATTCCAAATTTGATTGGAATATTCTTTAGATATAGTATAGATATTTAGATATTTACCGATAAATGTTGACAAACCAAAACAAATGTCATAAATTCTTTCCCTTTGTGAAACTATTTCTTTATTTCGCTTTTATAGGTAAAGATTTAGGGATAAAGGTCTGAAAATTTGACTGAAGATAGATCTAGAAAGGGAGTATAACAAAAAAAAGGAAAAACTACACTTTGACCGTAGTAAATTTCTAGGTTGATTTGTATGAGTGAACCAATAGTCAACAGGTATTTAAAATATTTTCATTTTATTGTTAATTACGATGTTTGGGTAACAACGGCAAAAAAATATTATAGACAGACGGTCAACCCTTATCGTATCCACCCTTATACTAAAAATACATTAAGCACGGTATGCCATTAGTCATTACAATGCTTTTATCGATATTTGTAATTCTAACATTACAGTTTTGCATCAAAGCGTTTTTTTGAAAGTAATATTATAATTTTCAGTTGTAATAATTTATATGACCTCCCACGCCATGATGAACGGACAATTTTTAACAGTTATAACATAGAAAATTCGCGTTTTGCTTTATTAAAAGGGACAACTTTAGGCGCGGACCCAAGTCAGGGGCAAAAAAAGTGCCTATAAATCCCCCTCAATCCCTAAAAATGTATTTTCTATAATCGTCAAAAACAACTATTTAATTATTTTCGATTAGTAATAATTTTAAAAATCAAAATTTTTCGTTTGTCAATATATACGTAAGTAGGATTTTTTTAAATCTAATTTCAATTTTATACGCCCCTACAGTTGACATAGCCTTATCATAAATATAATTCTGCCTTTCCCCGTGAAGAATTTCTGAATCTGCCCCTGGGAACTACAAGATAATAGTGTTTATGGTTTACAATTTGGCCTATATCGTATTACTTCCCATGCCTCCTGATCGACTAATTGTATGTTTTTTTCATCTGTAGACTGAACGTATTGAAGTTACCTTTTATAACGTTTACATTTCTATATATTACACAGATACCATTGTGTGTAAATATAAAAGGATTTCTCAACCGTTTTTTCAATATTTGTTTTCTTGACAACGTGATTTTAGATTTGTCAAATTAATTTTAACAGTTTAGTTTTATAGACATAATTTAATCGAACGTCTAATGTTTAATTTTAATGTATATCTGTATATTTATGTTTCTGATCAGCGTCCTTGGCGTACGCATAAAATGCGTGCCCAGATCAGTAGTCATCCATGTTGTAACGGTAACGGTGGAGTTGGGCGTTTGTCTTATCTGCCAACGGGGGAGGTCGAATTAGTTACAGCTGGCCGTGACTGGAGCTAAAGAATCGTTTGATAGAAAGTAGAAACTTGGGAATTGTTGTTATTACTGTTGGTTTTTTTTCAAATAAAAATCGGAAAAATAGGCACACGTTACTAAGTAGCTCAGATTAGTGTACACGGACGAAGGCCGAAGGCGGTTGGGGTTAATTACACCAACATGAGGGTATTCGCCACTATCTTTATATTGTGCTATTCAAACGGGAGGAGGTGAAGACCTTTCACCGCGGGTCGGTGCGTTATCACAGTGCGTCTTTCAATTATATCATACTATATACTGCCTACATAAACGGGTTAAGGTCATTTTGATTTGTTATTTGTACAAGGAAATCGTTCAAGTTGCACAATGCTACTCGCGTGCATATACATGAACGGCCGTCTATCTCGGTAATATCATATGATACAGACAAAACGTTATAGGTATTGACCACCCGCCATTTCGAATGTGTGTATTTGGTTTACTTTTATCCGTTTGACCTCTAGCGAGGACAATAATTTTGGATTTTCGAAAGTCCGCGTGCTATAAGCAATAACGCTGGCTAGTTAATAAGTCACTGACAGTCGACAGACACTTTTTTTCTAAGCTGAATATTTTGACATTTTCATGTCTTAGCTCTGGCACATAACCGAAAAAAGCGTTACCAAAAGAGCGTAACGAAAAAAGCGAAAGGGTTGAAGATGAGGTGGGTATGGGAAAGGGGTGGAATTAGCTATGGCAAATAACCGAAAAAAAGCGTTACCAAAAGAGCGTTACCTCATGAAGATTGGTTGGAGGTGGATATAGGGGTAGGAGATAAGGGATGGGGGTGGAAATAGGGGTAGGAGATAAGGGGCGGGGGTGGGATAGGGTTGGGGTTGGGGATAGGGGTAAGATATAGGAGATAAGAGATATGTTGTACGTTCAACGTTCAAATTAGAACTAAATAATAAATTCAAAACAGTTTAATTCTCTATGTTAAGTTACTTTTGGCCAGATAATAAACACTACAATTTTAGCCAGAAACTTGATTGTACATAATTTTTTTATCTCCTTGGTCTTATGCTGTAACTGGAAGCTCCATATAATTTTTTTTTTTAAATTATAATTCCACAACTAATTTAAATTTATTCGGTATTTCAACGAAACATGAAAATGCTCTTTCGTGGTTGCAGACTCGGCTGAAAAACTTTTTGGTAGGTAAACTAATTGTAAAGAAGGCATTGAACTTCATTGGCCTGTCACAAGGCAATTTTAAGATTATCACAAACATAATGATAAAATAAAATTATATTATCAAAACATTCAACTATAAAAAACTTAATATTCGAATACTTAATTTTATTAACTCATACTTGTGACCATTCTACACAGTAGGTATGAATTTCTACTCTTATGAAGTATAATTATTAATTCTAAAGCCAATTTTTTAATATAATAGCAACAATAATCGTAAGTTTGAAGCTTTAATTTTAGCTTAAATAAATAAAAATTAAACAGTTTATTAAGTATAAAATAAATGAAATATAATGATAAAAAATATACCTTTCCTTAAAGATATATTTTATGTCGGCTACGTTAAAAGAACAATTTTAAAAGTTTTACTTTTTTATAATAAGAACGCCGATTTAATCATAAATTTAAAAAAGGAGTCTATTAATACTTCTCATAGGTACCTATTCATAGTACACTGTATAACGATATTATAATTATTTAGACTTTATACTTTACATTATTGTGATTTGTGTTTTTTTTAGATTACCATCAATATGGAGTTAAACGAGTTCAAAGATTTTGCCGCGAGTATGATTGAATACGTGGGAAATTATTTGGAAAACATTAGAGATAGGTAAGTGTGTGGATTCTGCTATTACTTTATAGCAATAATCAAGCGAAATCATACCTAAATGACCATAAAATATAGTGGAGTTACTTACAGTAATAATAAATTGACAGTGCATTTAAACACCTTGCTTAGGCGAAAATTCATTCAAAATTTAGGAAAGGTTAAACAAATTCAGTCCCACATACTGCAATATCTATAGTATTATTCTATATAATAGGTACTATAAAAATGTTCATTTTATAGGAAGAAGCCAACAGGAACTGGATACTTTAAACTTAGTTGATTAGTAATTTTAATCTAGCTTAATTAAGGCCATTTTATTACTTATTAGTTATTAATCATTTTCCAGTATCTAAAAGTTACTTTATAACAAATGAAACACTAAGGGATGAGTTCAAAAAACATTTCGAATAAAATTTACATTTTCTTCTTTAACCAAAAAACGTAATTTGTATCATTGAATTAATATGTTTGTTTCATAGTTAACTGTTTATTTGGAACTTTTTCGGCAACAATCGTGGTAAAAAAATGTCTTACTTATTGTGTTTGATAAGTCAAAAAGATTTTACCATATAAATGAATATATTCTTTTAATATTATTAGCTATATATTAATAGTTAAACAAAAAAAAAATTTTATTTGAGCGTTCCGAAGATCAGCACAAAGGGCCTATTCAAAATCCCTCCAAAATCATCCAAACAAAAGTCTGAAAATTACTCTAGATTCCTATACAGGGAGGGCTCTTAATTGGGAGTGTATAAGTAATTCCTTTTTTTACCCAGATGGGACTTTTCCAAGTAAATGTAAAATTATATTCAAATTATAAATTAAAAGTACGTATAATTTATTTTTCTTATCTCAGAAAAGTACTGTCGTCAGTTAAACCAGGCTATCTGCGTCCATTGCTGCCTACAGAAGCGCCCAACGAACCGGAAAACTGGAAAGATGTGATGGCCGATATTGAGAAACTTATCATGCCTGGGGTAAGTACTCAACCCTTATTATTGTTAGAGAATTAAGAATATTATAAAATATTCTTCGATCACTTCTCAATTTAAGTAAAAAATCATTATGATATTTTTCTTGATAAAATAGAATATATATTATTTATTTTTGAGTTTTCAATTAAATTATAAAAGTATGACTGTTAAAACTTGCAAGATAAGAAATGAGTATAATTTAACGTGTAAAATGGTCAAATGTTGCTACACATATAACCTCATTGTGTTATAAACTAGAATTATTTATTTCTTGTTAGGTGTATTTTGATTTTTGAGTCTTACTTAATAATTGTACTTGTTAACTACTTCGTACCTATCTATCGACATATTTGAATAACTATAATATGATGTATTCAAACAGGTGACGCATTGGCATTCGCCGAGGTTCCACGCTTATTTCCCTACAGCTAACAGTTATCCGGCCATGGTAGCCGACATACTGAGTGACTCCATCGCTTGCATCGGATTTTCATGGGTATATATTTTTTTGTACGACCATTTTAACAGTGTATTTAAAATTGCAAATAAAATTTGGTTAGTACAGACAAATTAGTCATTATTTAGTAGCTATACAGTATGTAGAAAAAAAGTGTATCACCCAAGTACCAAAAGGTAAAATCAGTAGGTAAGTATAGTCATTTCTAAGACGGTGTTACTCGTGTACTATTACTTTAGGTTCAGTATTTGAGTGCACGCCGCAAGGACACGTAGCCGTGTGGTTTGTATTTAAGGATTACCCTAGTTTACTTAGTTATTGAGTAAAAATGCATTTTACCTGTAAATAGACTTATGGATTCAATGAAATTAAAAGATGAGTAATGAGAGAGATTTGAGGCAAAGTCCTCTTGCAACGAAACTCGTGGCAAACTCCAAATTTTTCACCCAATTTACATCACTACTTATTTCACTCATTTCTATCCGTTCTACCCTATCTCTGCGTTCAGCTACACTTCCTTTATACTAATTAGCTTTCGTGATTTGTCTATTATTAATACTTTATCGAAAACTTGTTTTAAATTAGTCTACCTAATAGTACCTATACCTATTACTACTTCGCAATAACCTAATTTATAGCTTTCTCGATCTAGTCTTCTTCATTTTACACGCGATTTGTCCAATTAAAAAAAAAATATATCAACGAATTATCTTCCAATTAATACTGACGAGAATTTTTTTCAGAAAGGTTATTGTTACACTGTAAATATCGTTACAATTGAAAACATACGCTTACATTATCAATTTTTTGTACAGATATCGAGTCCTGCGTGTACTGAGTTGGAAGTCGTCATGATGGATTGGCTAGCTAAAATGATTGGATTGCCAGAGTTCTTTTTGGCTTCAGCCGGTCAAGGCGGTGGTGGAGTAATACAGGTAAAATTATAAAACAACGTATTGCACTGTACACATGTACTTCGATAGAGCTAAATTCACACTCTTTAAAATACTTATTTTAACTTAAACATTAAAACCTATTAAATATAGTAACTAAGCTTTATTAAAAGGTTATATAGTAATATTTTCTAGACTTTGTCGCTGAGTTGTATTGTATTTCCTGTCTCCAATCGTTTATTTCGTATTTTCGTTAAAAATCAGAAAAAAAGGGTTTGTTAAACTAGTAAAGTAAGTGATATTTTTCAACAAAAAAAAAACTATAATAACACACACACAAATATATATAGTGATATTTAATGTTCACAGCGAGAGTACCAGAAATTTTTGTTAATGGGAAATATATAAAATGTTAATATAAACATGTATTAACATCTGGCTTGAAAGTTGTATTATAAGGGTATACTTTCATGCCAACAGTTAATACTAAAATTAACCAAGGTTTTACAAAATATCTAGTAGAACATGTGTATATTTGTTTAGGGCACGGCAAGCGAAGCCACATTGGTCGCGTTGCTAGGAGCCAAGGCCAAAGCGTTGCAGACCATCAAGGCGTCCAATCCCGAGCTAACCGACGCAGAAATCGTACCAAAACTAGTGGCCTACTCGTCACAGTTATCCCATTCATCCGTCGAACGCGCTGGCCTACTAGGCGGTGTCCTGCTGCGAGCCCTAGATACCGACTCCGAACACAAACTCCGGGGTGACACCCTCAAGGATGCCATCACCGAGGACCGCGGCAAAGGACTTATCCCATTCTTTGTGGTAGCTACTTTGGGCACTACCAGCTGCTGTTCGTTCGACCGCTTGGACGAGATAGCCGAAGTGGGAAATGAAGAAAAAATTTGGGTGCACGTGGACGCCGCATATGCAGGTAACCCACATTGGGCATATTAGCATTCTTGCATTTAGCAGGTGGCGAGTCGGAGTACCTTATTCTTTTTATTAGTTGGATTAAAAATTATTTTAGAGTGCTCCTTGAAAAAATACAACTACCTTCTTCTTAGTCGTTTTTAGCAGTGTGATATTGAATTCCATAACGCCTGGTTTAAAGTATATCTACTTCCTCAGACGTGTAATGCAAAATTTAATTCAAGAAAAAAAAGTTTAAAAAAATTGTTGTGTTATCGATACTGACTGTTGTAGTTTATAGAGTTGTAGTAATCTCTTTTATTAATAATCGACCGGGAAAAATGGTAGAAATAATGAACAACGTGATTGAAAAACTTCTAGTTGTTAGTTATTACTTTTTTATTAATTATAATTTAATGTCTATACTATATAAAATAATATCGAGGGGGTATCCCGTATCCTTATTTAAATAAATAACAACATAGTATGTCAGATAGTGTGTATTATTGTTTATACAATATAAGTGGCTATTACACTACATATATGTGTATAATGTGTATTTCATACGACGACGTTATGTTAACGATTTAGGTTCGGCTTTTGTGTGTCCAGAATACCGTCACTATATGAAAGGAATCGAACTGGTTGAATCGTACAACTTTAACCCTCATAAATGGCTGCAAGTCACATTCGACTGTTCTGCGATGGTATGTTAATAATTATTTTTATCCAAGAGTCAACACGGAGGATAACTATATTAAAAATTAATAAATTACTTTAGTTAAATTAAATATGTAACACGTTCTATATATTTGATTTAACTACATATCACTTCACAATTTACAATAGTTTCTGACATGCTCATGAATCCGGTTGCCTTATTTACGTCCTTGAAGGGAGGATTATCTAATAATTTACTTTCTAGTATAATATACATTGCTCCGTTTTTATTTGTACATACTAATGAATAGAAAAGGATAATTATCACTGTATATGGTTTTGCATTTTAGTGGTTGAGAAACCCAAATCATGTGATCAACGCTTTCAACGTGGACCCGTTATACTTGAAACACGAACAGGAAGGACAAATGCCCGACTACAGAGTTAGTAATGAATACCACCTAATATTAGTTACTAATTAAAATATGGTTTGAAACTGAAAAACCTAAATAATTTTTAAATGTACCTATATAAATAAATACGTGGTGTGCCGACTACCGTTCGTTTAGATGCAGCAGTCACGAGACGTTCATTTCAGAGGTACTAAACTGTTGGTAATTTTTATTCATGTTTCAGCACTGGCAAATACCATTGGGGCGTCGATTCCGTTCGTTGAAAATGTGGTTTGTTTTTCGTCTGCTTGGTGTTACCAATCTTCAACAGTCCATCAGAAAGGACATCGGTCTAGCCCACGACTTTGCCCGACGAGTAGAGGCCGACCCTGACTTTGAGTTGTTTAACGAGGTCACCATGGGATTGGTGTGTTTCAGAATCAAAGTAAGTTCTCCCCCATAGAGAAGATGTTAAACTATAAAACAAAACAAAAATTATTGAAATTGGTTCGTTAGACACTTTGGAAAGTGACTCCGCGTTTTAGGCTTTATTTGTAAAAAATTGACGCTTTCCGTTCCCCTTAACATTTAAAATCACATGTTTTTAGTTTTTTTTAAATAGCTATAACTTTTTTTCACGTTATTTTTTAAATCGGATATCACATTGTCTCCAAAATGTTGTTATATTTCGATATTATAATAGGTGTTTTTGCTCTAAAACAACAATGGACCTAATAAAACGCATTCTGCTTAACAATGTTTAGATGAAATGAAAACAATTATTTAAAATCGCTGACAAAGATGCTGTGATAGACGGAAAATTAATTAACTACCTACCAAAAAAGAATTCTAATTACTAAACTAATCATTACACATTAGCATTTAAGTTTTAAATTAAGATTTTTCAAATAATTGCCTATACCTAACTCCTTAATAAATAGGGGGTATGATGTCTTCTTAAACCGTACACAAGATGCGAGTTTGAACAAAATAAAACATTTTTTTTTTACAATTACTGTTATCTAATAACTTTGAAATAGAGTAGCAAATCGGTAGTTATTAATAAATAAAAAAATATACCGGTACCTACAAGCACTGACCGTTTTATTTTAACTTATTAAAAACGTGTTGTTACTTGCAGGGTTCCAACGAACTCAATGAAACTCTATTGAAAGAGATCAATGACAGGGGTAAAGTGTACATGGTGCCATCCAAAGTGAAAGGCACGTTCTTCTTGCGCATGGCCGTGTGCTCCCGTTATACCCAACTCGATGACATCGATGTTACATGGAACGAAGTAAAAGAAGCTGGGAAAACCGTGATGAGCAAGCAAAACAAATAAACACAATCAATTGAATTATCCCCGTCTTATCCACTTTAGTGTTTTGGCCACCACAGAAAGAGGCTTTGCACGACCAAACCATACACAAAGTATTAATATCTATTATATAATGGTCAAATCAGGCGCTTGTACTTAATCATTATTTAATTTAGAAATGTTCGTCGGATTAGTGCCCCATAACATTGGTACTATAATAAATACCTAATATAGTTAAATTGTTTTCTAATGTTTACGCAGTTATAATAGTAAGAAAGTGTGTTTTAAAATAACTTTTATATTTCAACAGCTTTAAAAACATTACGTAGAGTTCTAAATTGCACTAGAATTAATTAGGTGCGACCATAAGCACAATTCTGTTTAAACTTTCCTTTTTGTGTAGTGAGTGCAACTTTGAATAAATTTCTATCAAATACCATAATTTAAGTTACTCAAATAATTATTATACCTATATAACATTTAATTTTCAAAATAAATAATAACTAGTTATTTATACTGCTGTTGCAACTTTAAATATGCATTTTAATTTTAAGTTAAATTTTTTGTCTCGTATTAAGGCTTTAAAAGAAATGTATTATTTAAAAATCATCTCATACAACATTGTTATTATTATGTAAATCACTAAGTTATGTTGTAATAATATTCATGGTATAATAATAATTTCTTTATATGATTTTATATTTATTATAATTGTATAAATCAAAGTTAAAACAATTTTCCACACTATTCATGTTTATATTACATGCAACAGGGGCGTATTTAGATATTTTTTTTGGAGGGGGGGGGGCTGAGGCACTAACTCTTAATAAAAACTTGACAATATAAAACTTCTACAGTTCACATCATATAGGCTCATAGGCAGACTGAAATAAATTCCGAGAGGGGGCTGGAGCCCCTTCATCTACCCCCATAAATACGCCTCTGACATATAATATAAATATATAAATTAATCAACATTATTTATTATAATAATAAGTGCTTATAAATTAAAATTGTATGAAAACATAAATTATTTATTGTCTTAACAAACATTAAATTCCGAATGTCTTTAAAACCCCAAAAATAAGTTGTAATTTTGAAATTCTGAACATAATAATTCTTATTAAATTTAAAAAAAAAACATATTCTCTATTAAGTCACAAAAAGCAAAATTTTTTTTTTGAAATTAAATAATGTGATCATAGTTTTACAAAAATTATTAACATGTTATGTTGTTCCAAGTAAAAAATTATACTTGTAGTAAGATAAGGTAACTTCCATTCAGAAAGTCATGACTACATTCCACGGTATACGTCAGCTTAATTTGCATAGAATTCCATAAGATAAATGCATATCAAGACCCACAAGAGGACTAATGGTACTTAACCAAGCTACAAGAGGATTGTCCCTGAAAATAAATAATTAACAGTAATCAACAAAATATCATGTTACAAAGTAAAATTGAAGATAAGTTAGCAATTATTATACATTTATTACTGTTATAAACTATTAAATTTACATGATGGTGAATGGATGTTGTGTGACAAATCCTAATAAAATAAAATAAAGTTCAAATATTTTTCGCTGTAAAAGAGCTGAATATCAATAAAACGAGAGCTTAGAACATATTTAACTAGCCCAATGAATGCAATTCAGCGAATATTTAGAATGCTTAGTAGTTAATTGGAAATAGTGGAAGAAAAAACATTTAAAAAATTAAAAATCCCAACGAAATGATATATCATCTGTAATAGTTTGATATTCATAATAACAAATTATAGGGCATTAATTATTGTTTAATTTTTTTTTTTTTTAAATATGTAGTAACTATTGGGGTTATTACAAAATGTTTTCCTAGTATTCAAATACAAATACTGCACTGCTAGCAAGGAATATACCATTTTAATAGTTTTGAGAAAAAACATTTTTTCTTAATTTGTTTGTAATGGTTGTAAATGTATTCATATAAACCATTTTATTATTTACAAAGAATCTATGGATGATACGGTAATATAGCTAAGCACATAAAAAATGCGCCTTTTAATTCTGAATATTTCTATGTAAATTCTCACTTATCAACATTTGGCACATTCGCCCTTCTTTGCTAGCAGGGCAGAATAGTTCTATAGGAGATCTATAATAAAGTAAAGGTAAGATAGTATTTATTAATTTTGTCATGATGAAATTGGTTTTATGAATGACTAAATATAATATACTTACTTTATATCCTTTTTTTCTGAAAAGCCTAAAAGCTTCATAATATGCGTGGTCTGACATGGGTGTAATGTGAAAAATGGTACATTTTTTAGAGGATGTTCCTACAAAAAATAAAATTATTTTCAAAATATGTAATTTTTATACCTAGATTATAGCAGTTAGATTTTTTACTATACCTTTTGTGTTAAAGCATTCCATTTGTCTGCAATCAGGGGTTCTTTCAAAGAGGAATGGACTAATGACCAAATATGCTTCAAAGATAACAATTTTCCATCTAAACAATTAATTATACAATACCATTATACAAATAGGAAAATTGCACAAATAGCTATAAAATTAGCTTCAAGTTGATATTTACTCATACGCCACATATTAAAATATAAATCTGGACAAGTATAACTTAAATTGTAGAGGATATGATATTCGCACATTATATGTGAGTCATCTGTTGATTCTAGTTCTAAAAAAAAAAATGTATATATATATAATAGTTGAGACCTGAGTATTTTATAATAATATTTACTGACTGTACAACAAATTAAACAAAATTCAGGAACAGGCTATTTTAGATAAAGAGTGAGCCCTTCATGTTTAAATCACAAACTAAATACCTAAAGAATAGAAGTAGGTAAAACAATAGTTTTGTTTTTGTGTATTCAAACAATATACATGGATATTCGTGAAAATTCACAAACCATACAAATAATTTACATTAAATTAACAATAATTTTATTTGTATTGTTCAAACTACACAATCTTAAGCCGGTCCCACACAACTCGCATATTTGGAAAATAATTGTCAATCGCTATATTTTAAGAGTCGTATAGGAGATATTTAATTGTAAAGTATGACGATTATTTATACTCAGCTAGTCACTCAGTGTTTCCCGACGGTTGTCGGTAAATGTGACACAAGTCAAAGGAATAACGAGTGTTTTTATTAACTATTGATAAGATTCTCACACGACTCGGAGTTCATCCTCTATATTCGCCACATGAAAGGCGATAATTCTGTGAGGATCCTCGATGATGATGATCGTCAAGTACACGAGTCGTGTGGGACCGGCTTTAAGTATGAACCATACAGACATTTACATCCAGTATTTTTAAGTACACTCTAGTGTACTTAAACCTCTATCATACATTATGTTTGTATATTTGTATTGAATAGTGAACAAAATGTATACCTGAATCATCAGAGTTTAACAAATGTTTTGTTCTTTTCAGCATTTCCTTTTTTGTCAAGTACTTAATGACTTTGTTGTCCTACAAAATTACATTTTAAGATTATAATATTTGATGGTAATAACTCTAGAGCATGTGCATCTGTGCAGCCTTAAACTATAAATGTTTTATAAAAAATATTCCAAGACTTTGGAAAAAACTTCTTTAAGGATGCAAAAAATTACGGTCACAACAGATTTTACTGTAACACAGCAAATCTAATCAAAATTAATCTAATGGATTATTAGAAGTAAATATAAAATAGCCATAATACTGTTGATAAATGTGCTGGGACCAGGAATGTATGGTAAGTGACCACAGCAGCGATCTGGTCAACTTATCGTACACCCTTGCAGCACCAGAGTCGAAAAGAGCAATTCTTCGGTAATGTAACTAAAGTAATGTTTATTTTGAAAGTTAGAGCTTAACTAATTATTTTTTATTTTACTCAATATAAAATATAATTTAAACTTATAGAAGTTAAAAAAAAAACCTATTTTTTCAAATTTAATTTGATTATAATCAACTCCAAAAGAAGATCACTGTCATAACACCGCACAGTGTTTAATAAACGTATTGATAGTATAAAAAATAATAATGTTATTTCTAAAATCATTTTCTAACATACAAACATTTTGGATCCTTTGGCCAGGTTCAATTTGATTAAATTACTATAAAATATGATCATTTTATATAGAAATATATCTACTAAAAAAAGTAAAACCTACTTTTTTATAATTAAATTATTCCTCTTCAATATCAGATGATAATTGTGCAATAACTGAAATGCTATGAGTTGTCATTTACCGAGTAATTTGGATGTAAAAAAATTACTAATGAAAATACAAAATTATAAGTCAATATATGATAAAATAAGGATATAAACAGGACATGAAAACATTGATAGCACAGAGTAAGCTTTTTCTTATTTGGTTTTGTTATGGAGCTATTATCCAAATGTAATAAAATCGTTTTGACTTATTTTGATTTTAAAACGTTATATTTATGTTTCAATAATAAAAAAAAGAATTTTTATAAAATGTTATACTTTTGTCCTTGGTGTAAAAATTTCTTATTCCCGCAAGCACTTACCAGAGCGTTGGTGTATTCGCACATTGCCCAACCATCATCAATGGTATCTGAATGATTTTTCAAACTAACAGCATATTCAACAAATTGATGATAAGACATGCTCATGATTCAGTAATAGGTAAAACGAAAATTTTAGAACTAAATTTATACGCAATTTAATTATATTACATTTTTTTCTAAATCATTTAATTTTTTTTAGAACTATTTCATACACTTACGTACCTAGCTATGTAGTACTTTAATTTAAACATTAGAATAAATATTTATCAAATTCACTAATAGTTAAAATAGTTATTATTATTTATTAGTAATTAGCAATGGTACAAACCATTGATTAAGATATCTAATAACATTTTTTTTTAAAAATGTCCAAGATTCAAACCATTATCGCTTTAGAATCTTTGTATAATATTGTTAATTGTACAAAACTAATACAAATTATTATTATCAAAGGCTTACCGTTAGCTGATACTATTGTCAACACCATAACTGATAGCAAGGGCCAAGGTGGCTGCTGCTGTGATAAAAATTTGATTCTAGCATCTGTAATTGCTTGGAAAATATATAATAAACGAAATATTAAGTTACCCAAACCGTGGCCCGCAAGCCTCTACGTTATTTTTGAGAATAGCTGATTAGATGTATAAATCCACGATTCTGTAGTGCCTTCTATCGGGGTTTTTATTGAACTATATATTTGATACTTGATTAGTGTGTCCAGTTTTCGGCTAGGATCGCTCAGTCGTAGGTGTTTCCTCCGAAACGCGCATCAACACATTATCGACACCGATGTTCCTTAACCAGAACACAGATATATATAATAAACTAGATTGCTAACAAGCGATAAGCCGATGGTCCGCCATTCTGGTGGGATTTATGTGTATTATCATACACATATATATTATATATTATATATGCATATAATATATATCTAAATATTTTAATATCAAAATTACATATTTATGTGATTGTTATAAACATATATTATTCTCGCGTGATAAGGTTCTGATTCCCACCAAGATGGTGGAAAATGGCTGCTTCAATCTTCTCTATTGGTGGCATCATGACAAAATAGATAGGTATGATGTCAAAATACGAGTTTATGAATCAAATGCGCAGAAATGGCGACAGCTTTTCTCCGCCTGTGATTGGCTATAAATTATATCTCATCAGGAAATTATATGCCCGCCAAAACTTTAGTTTGTAAATGATATATATAATAAATAGAACTAAAGTAGAGAATAATTAACTATTAAGACTGTATAAAGAGTATATTTATTTTGTTTATTTAAATATAATTTAAAACGCCTCTTTGTGTTTTTGATGGATGTTTAAGTGGCAGTAGGCGCAAAGGTCTCAACAAAAATCCACACATCCATCTTCACAAATTTCCTAAAAATGAGGAATTAAAAAAAATGGGTTTTGCAAATTCAAAGTAATAAACCTATTAAATGTAGATAAAGGTAACAGATATTAAATATTTAGTTTTTCTCGAGATAAAAGGAGTTGGTGTTGTAGCTTTTGTATGTTCATTACATTTCAATGCTAATGACATTGTTGAGAAAACTTTAATACACAAATTAGCAGGCTATTCACCTCAAAAATCAAGGAGAGCCAAATTCAATACTATTGAGGTATGATATTAGTAAGATACTCAAGCACCGGTCCAAGTCTAAGTGTTCATAAAAAAGTGTAGGTCGCACATTGGACAATAATGAGTCGTACCTTGGACCGGTGTCGATAATCATTTTACTGTAACTACAATTTAAATTATGTCATTTGTTTTAATAGAAAAGTATGGTACTTAAATTACATTTTGAATAATTTTTTGTTTTTTAATAATAATTGTTTTAGTCAAGACGGATTAGCTAATAGTAGAACACCATATTTTATATGAAATTTCCTTATCTATATCATTCTTTTCAGTTAGTACTAACCCTAAGTATTTAAACTGCTTGGCTCTGCTGAAAACATAGTTTTTTATACAATTAAATATATAATAAATATGTATTCATGTATATATTTTAAATCCATAGACAGGTTAAATGATGCAAAAAAGACTTCTTTCAATTACTTGTAATAAATAAACCCCAACCCACAGGGGTTAGATTGTGAAAAGATCTATAAAATGTGTATATTGTTATAATCTCATTCCTTGGTTTTTATACATTGGAGCATTAACTACACAATGTGTGATATAAAAGACATAACTCTATAAGAAATGTTTTTTGTCTATTAGGAAAAATCAATGGAATAACTAATAGATTTATAATTTTAATTAAAAATAAATTATTTTAACATAATGTCATCTCACAGAACATATATAAGTGATAGCATGAATATTGATTACTACCGCCTGATAACGTTTGGAGAAAAGCAAGATGGCTGATACTGCGTATCACGATAGTTGACATCATACCTATCTATTTTGTCATGGGTGGCATGTACAGTTAGCAATCTAGTTTATTATATATATCTATGAACCAGAATGTCTACGAATCACAATCATTTTTGTAATATTATTTTTGGTTGCTGCGCGGACAATGTGAATTAGTCAACAAGCTCTGACACACCCTTAGCCATTTATTTAACAGGCTGTTGTTCCCAACATCATAACCATAGACATATTATAATATGTTTATGATCGTAACGGTCTTTTTCCCCCTCTGAGCAAATTGCGCGCGTTCCAAATGTTAAAAGGAGGTCTACGATACAAGGTGTACTATACAAAAACATTAACTACCAATGAGATGCTGCGGTCAGTGTTTATCGTTAGTTCGACAACGGACAAACAACAAAGTCGCGTCTTGGAAATCCGGTATTCGTAACAGTTTTCTTATTGAGTTGAGGCCTTACCTTTCGGTGCCAGACACCCAGAATACAAAACAATAATGAAGTCTTGACAAAACAACAGTGTAATTTACTTTCATCATGAACGTTTGAAAACATTACGCTATTGCTAAGAAGTGCTAGGTAATTTATACTCTGATGCCGAATGAATAATTGAAAATTCAGTAAGTACTTAAAGGGATTGGTAAGAAGTATTGTTCTATCTTGTTTATTTAATGCGTGGTGTCTGAATTTAGAATTATTTTATTTTTTAAAGTAGCAATTGATTGACTGATGCAATTAGAAATTCTACTTTTTTCATTTTTGTACTTTAAATTGTCCGGGAATTTATGTATATAAAATTGATAACCAAAAATTACACTTAAAAAAAAAACATGATATAGTAGAAAAATTGTTCTCTAAAAAAAATGTTCAAGATTTAAAATCGGTTTTCAGATTCCTTGTTGTATCATTAGATTGATCGGTATATTGAAACAAAATACATCTTAATTCCTTTACTACGCGTTTGATGGATAAAGATAAGAAATATCACTTTTTATTTACCTTAGTAGGAAATAATAATGTGCATTCATTTTTTGCTTATACAACATAAACTATTTTGCTATGATAATCAAATTACCAAATTTATATTACATTATAATTATAATGAAAATAATTACGTAATATGTATTATTTGCGTGCCCTAAATGTTTTATTTTATTACAGAACAACTTAAATCAAAATGGCAGACTTGGATGTTCAGGACAATGTGTCTTCTGAATCTGTTTATAGTATAAATGGAGTTCATGATACAAGTAAAACACTACAATCATGCAACGACAAATTTTTAGCCATCAAATCTTCAATGTCTGACGTTTCATCATGTCACCATTTATCAACAAATAATTTAGCTTTGTTACCAGAAAATAATACTTTAAATCACAAGGCGAGTGATAATTTAGTAGAGCCTTTGTCAAACAGTAATTTTCAAATAAATTCTGTAGACTATAAGGTAGGCGATGTCGTGTGGGCTAAAATTGGAAGATATCCTTATTGGCCAAGTGTTATTTGTTTGGAGCCAAACTCCAACAAGTATTACAAACAATATTCTAGTAAGTAATTTTTATTTGTGAAAGCTAAACTATTACTACTTTTTATTTTATGTCTTAATGTGTTTCAAACTATAATTACTAATTGACTTGGTGGGATTGATATTAAAAGAATCATATGTCCTTATAGATTTATTTTTTTTAGTATAATCATTATTACTTATTACTCAAAGTTGAATTAAGGCAATTTTTACTTTTTATATTAATGATACATTTTTCTAAAAAATATTTTAAAAGTGGGATATGTCATTTTCTCCAAAATGTTCTCTTTCATTTTTTTTTCTGCTTAAAAACCGTTGTGGTCTGAGTAAAACACAATCTGCCTAGTCAGGATTTTACAAGAACAAAAATTGGGGTATAATATCTTCTTAAATAGTATGATAATAGTTAAGTAACTATATTAACAGATTATAACGATTACAACTTGTAACATTGAATTTTGAAAATCTACAAGAACTGATGAAAGTACATATATTTAGTTTTGCATTTTCACAGTTGTATTGTAGATTAACTACTTTTTTTGAATTTATCAAAACTTTCAAGATTTAAATTATTAGTTTGACAATTTTTGAATTTATGACTGTGTCTAATATATTATAGTTTTGTGAAACGGTTAGATTTGTCAGACGGTGGTGCAAAGTATTTAAAGAATGACCTACCTAAAGGTACAAGTATACAACCACAATAGCCAATGGCAGATTATGCTAGTAGGAGGGTGGGCACTGGGCAGTGGCCTACTCATAACCTAAGGTCTAGTTTTTTCATACTTTACCTACTTTTACTATTCATCATCATGTAGCTTAACGGGCCATGAAGGCCCAACGCTGCCATCATGAGATGGTTTCTTGACGAATTCGCTTCCGGGATGGGTCGTCAATCCGTCGCCGGAGAGAGGGGGATGGCGGTTCCTTTTTACCGGACGATTGCTCGCCCAGCAATGGTGACCGAGTGTCGAACCGGCGACAGTGAGCGCTAACACACTGCCGCCTTACCCACTCGGCCACTCCTCCTCCAACTTGATACCAACTTGATATTAACTTTTACTATTAGTAAATTAAAATATTCTTTTAAAAATTTTTATTTACCAAACGTATTTATTATTACAATTATCACGATAAGTTCATACTTCAAGCCCAGTTCTGTATAGTAGTTATACATATATAAATATTTTATTTTATTTTATATACTATTTTCCTGCAATAACCACAATATACCTAAAAATATTTCAAATGTGCGCTCTAAATACTACCAATTCATGTTTAATGTCCTATTAGTGTTGTCAATAGTTTAATAGTACCAAGAAAATTTATGTTAACTTAAAATGACAACTCAACAGATTTTTATAAAATTTTAAATGCTTAGAATTCTAAAAGAGACTAGAGAAGGGTTGGGAGCAGGCTGGAGAGAAACTTTAGGTGGATGAAATTTTATTTCCAGAGCTAATTTTTCTTACTTGTCTTTTCTGCCACTGACCATAATATACCTATTAGAATATTAACTGTATAATAATTGTTTGACGTATTCCCTCAAAATGGTCGTTAAAAACTAGAAAAAAGGCCTTTTTGCCCAAGGTGGGGTTGTATTTTTTTCTTTGTTTTGTATTTCTAAGCCCAGTTTTTAAAATAAAAGTCTAGAATTTATGTATGGTGATCTAATTGGTACCAGTTAACTATAATTCATAATCATAAATTGTAATATTTTTTTATTATAGAAATACTAAAACTTACAAGACATAATTATGTCAATATTGCCTTTTTATAAATAATGTTGTTTATAGTTTTCGCCAACTACAAATTTGCACCAAAGAGTAATCTTGATAGTGATTTTAAAAATGCCTGCCCAAATCCAATATACTCCATATCCACTGTGCCTATTTATACCTTATACATATATACATTCATTTGAGCTATGTATAAAGTTGTGCTACATTTTTTTAGAACTTAGAAAAAGCTTATGTATACATGTCCGATTTTGCAATGACAATGGCAGAAGAAGCTGGGTGAGAGTAATAGAAAAATATTTAGGAAAAGATGAACTTCTAATAAAATATCCTACTTGTTTAGTAAGTTTGTATATCTATTATACCTATGATAATTGTTGTATGAGGTAATTAATTGTTAAAACTTAATTTTAATTATTATATTTTACAGGCATCAATAAAACAAAAAACTAAAATAATGGATATTTGGAATACAGCAGTTGCAGAAGCTGATTGCCTTATGACTTACAATATGTAAGTATACAATTTGTATTAATATAAGGGTATAACATAACCTCCATATAATATATTTTTCTAAATCACATTATAATCTATAATTTAAGTATAGCATTGTGGTTGTAAAACCACGAATAATTTAAATTTAACATATATTTTTATATTAAATTACTGTGTATTTAATTATTTCTAATAAAAAAAAAATCTTAGTTTCTTATGTAAAAAAAATAGTATTTTTGTGATAAATACAATGAAAACTAATACATTCAATTTTCTTTACGAAAAGTAGTTTGTATCACATTTTAAAACCAATATTAACTTACATTATAATTGAAGAGCTGCTGAGAAAAAAGATCAATGTACATTTTTTTTGAAAATAAGATTTTGGTATCAAATTATTTGTACTGACGTATTGTATATTTTATGCGCTCGAACTAGGGAAAAAACAGATTAGTCGAGAGTAACGACCACCCGTAGTTTAGACATACAGGAAAAATACATATTATATTATACTAATCTTGTTATAAAATAAATATTTTATTAGTTAAATTTAAAAAATTTCAGTGAAAAAAGACTGTTGGAATTTTTTAAGACATTTGTTATACCCAGTGCTGATATTAAGAGTATAAAATCTACAAAGAAATCGCCTAAACCATCCACAGCGGTAAGTAATACACTTAATTTCTTAAAAGGAATCATAGTGGAATTATATAATATTAACCATTGCGTAGTGTATATGTGATAAATAATTTTTTTAAAGAAATTTTGCATTTATCTATAAATTATTAAATACCTTTTAGCTTTCTACACATAGTGTACACTTATTGGATTAAGATTTAAAATTTGTACTTATATTTATTAGCTCTATGGAATAATATGGTATTATAAACTTTGAAATATTATTTCTATAAAGAACATATCATTCATTACGACTTGGTTTTAAGCAACACATGTGAAAAAGAGAAAAGGTATCTCTTGTCACAAAATTGATTATTTGAAATTATGCACTAAATTCTAAATATTTTAAGACCAAAATTGTTCTGCTATCTTGAAAATAAGCGGAGTTATGTTTGTTTGAATTTATGTTCAGAAATGAGTTTTTTGAGAAAAATTATTATAACATTAGAACATTGGTTCTTACGTTATCTTAAATCAAGATTTATATTTTTCGGATGGTATACACTTTTGAGCAAATAACTTTTGGCTACTATAGGTTTGTTCGTTTTAAAAAAGTGTAGTAGTACACACAGTTGATTTAAAAGTGTTGATTGTGATTTAATGTATACATTCTCCATACTGGTGGAAATGGAGGTGTATAGAATTTTCAGTAGAAAGTCAAAAACACCAAAAAACGTTTATTTTACTCTACATCTCTTCTAATACACTATTAGTACATACATATTTTTTTAAAACTGACAAACCTAATATGTTCCAGCTAAATATGTTCGGTGACATTATTTTTGCATTAATATTTTTCTATTACAATTTTTTTCTGCGTAAATATTTTTATACTTAAGATAAGTTTTTTTTACTTAAATATTTATTTGGCTGTATTATTTTAAAAAATGTTGCTCGGACAAAATATTTACGGCTAAAATACAGTTTTGGCTATTTATCTAAGCTCTCTTCGACATTGGCGTTAAATATTTCTTTAAACATACCAATAGTTAATTCTAATTTATGGTAGTTGAATAACTTTCTTAAAAATAATATGAAGGAGGTGTTTACATTAAATGATTTGCCTTAGCTGTCATTAAGTATTATGTAGCTAGTAACTTAACATTTCTTGTGATAGTGTTACCTACACTTCATACATCAATAAATGTATTTGTTTTTAGGAAAAATTACAAATTTACTCTAGAAAAAGAGCTCAAACAACATTTGTGGAACCCGAATGTAAAAAACAAAGATTGAAGATTGAAAACTTGTCTACTAGTGATTCTACTATATCAAAATCAATTAATACTCTATCAAGATCAGATAATATTGACGAACCTGTCCCTAATATGGTCGAAAGTTTTGTATATCTTGAAAATATAGAAAATAATGTCGAAGAAGGACATTTCAAAAAAACTTATATACCGACGTCCTCAATGAATGATAAGAATAACTTGCCTGATTCTGATTCTGAAAATGACGAAAACCATAATTCAGATAATGAGACATCTATGTAAGTATCATAGTTTATATCACTAAAAACAAAAACATTAAATTATATAATTTTATAGCGGCTATATTTCAAATTTAACGACAGTTGAACTTATAGTTTCAGTATTGTTGAACTATTTAACAACATTATAGTGTTATAGTCATTGAATATGTTTTCTAATCTATGACTTCTTATTTTTTTTAATTTAAACTACTTTCATAGAAAATTATTAAAATACTAAATGATTAGGATGTTTCATAAATCAGTATAAAATTTGTATTTATAATATATTTTTAACCAATCTTTAATATTAATTACTATTAAGATATAAAATTGCAGTTAATCTTTGTTAACTTAAAAGATTGATATAAAGTTTTTATAAAATATTTATTACTAACAAGTTATCAATATTTTAGTAATACTGTATATATGTCAATATTATACAATTGACAATTAAATAATTACGTACTATTACCCACATTCAAGTATATATTTAATTAATTTTTCAGAACTGATATGAATGATGACAATTTAATTGTAACCAACAGTAATAGAAAAGTAGAGGAGAGCTTAAAACTTCAAATAAAGTAAGAAATCGATAATGCTTGAGTTTTAACTTCAATTAGCTCATTTTGTATACAATAAAACAAGCATATTTACTATGTTATAAAATTGCTTTATATAGATTATTAGAAGAAAATGATGAACAAGAAAGGAAAAACACAAACTATTTGGTTCCTGTCAAAAAGAAAGTTAATGCTAAAAGGTATAATTATTTGATAAAAATAATTAAATTAGTGAAAGAAAAAACTTTTTAGAAGATATATATTTATTAATCATTTTCAGTCATCTAAGCTTCAATGCAGAGCTTAGAAGGTATTGTTCTTACAATGATGTGTTTTTATTATTTTTCATTTTTTTGTCTGAGCCCACAACATCTTTTAAACCGCTGAACCGATTGTTTTGTGTAGCAACTCTTTTTCATCAGAAATTGTACCTAAAACGTACCTTATTGGTCCAAAAATTAAAAAATTCACCCATTCCCCTTTAAAATCGAAAAAAATGTACATATTTTTCAACTTAAAATTGCGATGCTCTATAATTTTCTTTTAAATATTTGAATTAGTTCCAAATTTGTATGAAATATTCTTTCAGTATAGTAACATTGATAACACCAAAAAAAATTATTAAATCCTTTCCCCTAGAAGGGATAGAAATTTTTCTTTATTTCACTTTTTGAAGCAAAGTTTTTGGGAGTTATGTCTGAAAATTAAATTAAAGGTAAATCTAGAACGGAACTATAACATATACAATTTTCTCAAAAATCTGTATTTAAACTTTTTTTAATAAGGGATACCCCCAAAAAGGGGGAAATTTCATTGACTGTAGTCAATTACCAGGTTGCTATGCATAAGTGATTCAACAGTCAACAGGTAATGAAAATAATTTCATTATATTGTTAATATCGATGTATGGGGGAGTTATGGTAATATATTTTTATAGACAAACGAACAATCCTAATTGTATCCACCCTTATTTTAAAAATGAATTATTAAGTTAACAATTGTTAGTATATACAATGCTTTTAGCAATATTTGTATTTTTATCTATGAACACTGAACTTCCCTAACTATTACTACTACTACTACTCGCTTATGTATAATACTTTCTTACTGTGACCACCTATCCCTACTATGCCCCAACACCACCACTGTACTGGCTTTTTATATTATTTATATGCCCATTACTCTATTTTTACAGAACAACAAAAATGGGCATTAAGAAAAGTTCTAATTACATTTTGCAATATATGGACACTTTAGCAGATACACAAAAGTATGCATTGAAAATGTTAAGTAATTCCTATTTTAAATACTATATTGAAAATTATAAATATTTTGTTTTGATAGAGGTGCTCGTGTAGGGTATTTTTATGTTGTTTAAAATTTAAGTGGTAAACTATTAAACATTTTATGTTGGTATTAAGATTCTTCAATTTAATTCTAATATGTACTTCAACTAGCTATTTTTAGGACCATTTAGTATAAACATGCAAATGCATGAACTCAGGGTTTAATGATACTAATTATAAAAACTTAATAATAATAATTGATATTTTTAATAATAAAAAGTATTTTTATGATTAAATAAAGTAAGAAAGATAACTAAATAGCAGTTTTTTAGGCTTTAAAACTTTAAAAAATATGCTAATATGCAATAATAAAATCTTAAAATATTCTCTTAATATTCCATTTAAAAATATGCATAAAAAATTCTCAAATCTGAAACTAATCTCTAATTTCTAAAATATGCAAAGTAAAATTTTTTTCAACTAATTCACTGATCAATACATTTTTCATATTTTCATCTCCGTAGAGCTTTAACAGAAGCCAATAATTATATGCCAAACCCTAAAAATCCACTCTCTAAAATATGTGAATGTATGTAACATAAAATATAAATGTTCAATTATTTGTTTGAAAAAACAAATAGAACACAGCACAAAATTATAATTGCACATTATTTCATTGAGAGATAATAAATTTAAATATGAAAACATTTTGTTCCTGAAAGATATAGTTACCAATATAATGTTTTATTGTGATTAAAAACAATCTATAATCTGGTAATTGATAACAGATTTAGTCCAAAATACAGTTTTGAGACAATTAATGAGAATTTTTTTTTTTTTACATTTATTTACATGCACCTATGCCTAATAACACTCTCTCTCTCGAGTGTGATGCGCTTGTACTAGCGCTCTTCCTATTTCTGAAAACAATACTGGAAAGCTACGTAGTTAATGAGCGTCAGACACTTATTACCGATTACATGTTACAATTTTTGACAGATTTTACAAGAAACTTAGTTACGATTCGTTGCTCTTTTTTGCATCACTCATTTTTCTGATGGTACATTACAACATCACCCTTTATCTGTATAAAATTGCCTGCCTCTTTCTACAATCTACCCTCTCCTCCATATGTTATTGACCTCTTTTGAGGAGCCATTTTTATCTGTCACCTATCAGCATTTGTAATCAGCTTTTTAAATATTTTAAAGTTCCAAAGTTCCAAAGTTAATAAATCAATTATTAACAGAGTAGGAGGTTATTAATATGTGTTTATTACATTCATTAAAAATCTATGAAAGCTTTAACACATTCAATATAATATTATATTAACTTTGAAATAAAATTACAAATAATAAGAAAAGTAAATATAACAGTAATATAGAAAAATAGAATAATATTACTTCCTTAGATTTCTACTGAAATAAAAAGTTAAGTAATTCCAAAAAAAAAAATTGTAATTAAATGTAATAATATTATTAACTATTATTTTAATACTTTTAGGAACTCAATTAAAGTTGAAAATGAACATAGTCCAGAACCAACTAAAAGCGTAGCAACGTCTAAAACTGAAAGCTATAGTTCTGTTTATATATCTAGTCAAGAAAATAAAGAGTTATTTGTGAAAACACTAAAAAAAGCCTGTGTAGTGTGTGAAAATTTTAAAAACACAATTCGATGTACTGGTTTATGTCAAGACTATTTCCATAAAGAATGCTTAGCTAAAAGTGAAAACAGATATAATTTTCTGAAGCAGTCTATGAATGCAAATAATAAAAAAAATCAAGAGTTGAATGAAAAAGTGCACAACAAAAATAATACCAATGATAATTTTAATGACATGACAATAACAAAAGGAGAATGTTCAAACATTAAGGCTGAAAATGGCTTTAATCAACAAGGAAATGTTCAACAATTCAAGGACTTGGATAGTCCTACTGAAGATTCAACTAGTAAATCTTCTACAGAAAAAATTGAAAAATACCTTATTAAACCTAAAAATAAATTAACAAACAGCGTTAAAACTATCAAACCTATTGATTTAGAACACATGTGCAGTCTATGTAAAGCTAATAAAATTTATTGTTTCATATGTGGATTAAATGTTGATAAAGATTCTGAACAACAAAAATGTGTTACTTGCAAATTGGGTAAGTTATAGTTTGAAGGGCTATGGAGAAAAAAGATTAATGTCAATTTTTTTGAAAATGAGATTTTGGCATCAAATTATTTGTATTAATGTATTGTATCTTTTATGCGCTCGAACCAGGGAAAAAAACAGATTAGTCAAGAGTAACGACCGCCGGAAGTTTAGGCATACAGGCAAAATGTATTACGTTTTGAAATTAAAAACATGATTTTCTCAGAATGTTAAAAAAATTGACATAGATCTTTTTTTCCCGCAGGACTTCATTTATTTGTATTTAAATATATATATATATTATATTTTACAATGTCTTAAATCAAAGAAAAATATATGTGCAAAATTAACCAAAATTGTACCATTTAAGTAAAAATTAAATTCTACTTATATGTTAAATTTTAAAATTGAAAGAACGTAATGAACAATTTCTATGTTCTGAGTATTTAGTTTTTTATAAAAATTCTTATCCCCTTTTAATAAAATATGGATTTAAAATATTTTTGTAACTTAATAATGGGGTTTCTACAATGGCTATTCTCAGCAGCTTAACTTATTGCTTAACATGTATAATATAGTTTTTTAATTTAAGTTAATTAACTAAACTACTGAGAATTGTCAGAAATACATTTAAAGACATATATTATGTATTTAAATTTATTTTTGACAATTATTAATAGCTTAATAATTCAGTATCTAATAATATAATACTGATAAACTATAATTAATTTTAAAGCTAATTGTGGCAAATCATATCACACAAAATGTTTGGATGAATGGCCTCAAGTTCAATGGATTCAAGGTTCAAATAACAGTAGCCAGACAATAATTTGTCCTCTTCATGTGTGTCACCTATGCATCTCTGAGAATCCCAAAAGTAAATGTAAAATTAAAATACCTGCTGAAAAATTAATTCGATGCATTAAATGCCCAACTGCATACCATAGAAGTACGTAACATAAGCTAATATTATTATAAGAATTTAATTGACAACATTTTTGTAATAATTTTTTTTTTTAAATTATTGTAAACTAATGCTAAATCACTTAATTTTTACTTAGGTGAATACTGTTTACCAGCCGGTAGTAGAGTTTTAACATATAATAATATAGTATGTAGCAGACATTCTGAACCAAATAATAAACAAGCTCATATAAATGCAACTTGGTGTTTTATTTGCACTCAAGGTACGTTTAAATTATTGACTTCTGTACTTGAAAATGTTTTAAATATTTTATTTTTAATTACATTGAATTAGGCGGTTCATTAGTTTGCTGTGATTCATGTCCAGCTTCATTTCATATTGAATGTTTGAATTTACACCCGTCAAAGTTTGAAGGTAGTTTCACATGTGAAGAATGTCAAACTGGCCGATATCCACTCTACGGCGAAATCGTTTGGGTTAAAATTTCATCTTACAGGCAAGAATGATATATGTCTTAAGAATATGATGTTTATTTTTTATTTGTATTACATTTTTTCTATATTTATCCATGAACTCTGGGATCTGCCTCTTCTTTGATTACTTATTTTGCCTTGTTTCATATCTACTGGATATTATATTCATTTCACAGGGTGGTAGTAGACCTTTTTTAAAACAGGAATTTTTTCAGAAACTAATTAATTTTAGAGGTTTTCATAAAGACCATACATCCAATTTTTAAATAATGTATTATGCTAGCTCTACACTCACGCCTCTCAACTTTCGTGAGGCGCCAAGAGTACTTACCAACTATACTCTCGCAGAGCCTCGCTTTTGGTTACATATTGGATCATCGTCGCCTCGCCTCATGTTCTTTGACTATCGCCAAAAAACCGCCAGATGGTGAGACAATACGAGGCGAGACGAGCGAAAGCATCGACCACACTCGCGTTTGGGTTACCTTGCGCTGCCTTAGCAAGAGTGTGGAGCTAGCATTAGGTATTAATGTCTTCCTTGATTTAAAATACTTTTTGTACTAAATACGATAAAATACAATTTTAGGTTCTTTAGAAATTATAATATTTTCTTATAATAATAAAGTAGTTATAAAAAATTTAATTTTTTATATTTAATAAATTATTATTAATTATTTTTTAACAAGATCACAAGACAACCTTGTTCTGTTAAATTAAGATTTAGTGACTTGAGGCGAATCTCTCAAATGACCAATTTAAAATACCTTAAATCAGAAAATATATTAATTTCGAACCACATCCCCATTAATTTAAGATGTAAACATTTTTCTATTATTTTACAAACATTACAGTAATCATTGGTATAGCTCTTTGTTTTCACTTATGTGACTGTTTAAATAGAACACCTATATGCCTTATAAAAATCGCCCATCTACATGACCAATTGTTTTGCTAATGTGTCTTAGTTCTAGAAAACATAGACTTTTTTAGTATATCATTGATCTTATTATAAGGTATAATTGTTTACGAATTATACCTTATTTATGGCATATTTAATAAATATGCCATAAAAAGAAAAGCGGTTTTAGCAATTTTGTTATTTTAAGAAAACGTTATCATCTCCATAAGACATAAAATCCTATTTATCAAAAAAAAAAAACAAATAAGAAAAGACCTAAGGACTTATCCTATAATACTTATAAATTGGATGTGTGGTCTTTATGAAAAATAATAGTTCCAAGTGACAATGGTACCCAAATAAAACGCCTACTTTAAAAAAGAAAAAAAAATAGTAGCTCCAGAGACCTCTAATATTAATATGTTCTGACAAAAATTTCAGAATAATTTTGCTTAATATAATATGGTATTTAAAAATATTCAGTGATAAACCAAATCAACTTAAGAATGGATGTTAATTTTTTTTTTGATAAGTTTATAAAGTATACAATACATATATTTCTATTATGTATTTTTTTTTTAAATATACTCGATTAATATTTTTTGTTATATTTATGTTGTTAGATGGTGGCCAGCTCAAATAGTTTTTCCAAATCAAGTTCCTGCATCAGTTAATGCTACTGTACACAGTAGTGATCAGTTCGCCGTTCGATTTTTTGGTACTTATGATTACTATTGGGTTAATCGTGGTCGAGTTTTTAATTTTCATGAAGGTGTAAGTATACTTTTCTTTTAAACTTCTATATATATATATTACATTTTGAGTTATTATAGGATGACGAAAATATGTTAGTTAAAATTAAATGTAAGGCTATTGACCAAGTATTTCAAGATGCTGTTATAGAAGCAGCTCAAGCGCATAATGCTTATATCATAGATAAAGATAGATATGATGCTAAAGAATTAAACGAAACTTTAAAAGTTAGTAGTTTTCTACTTTTTACTTTCTGATAGGGTTGTTAATTGTATTGTACTAATATTACTACATTGTATTTTTAGAACCCCCCAAAGTATACGAAAATAAAGTTCAACAGACCTGTTGGTAATGTAAAAGAAATGGAAACTAGTTTAATCCCAATGACTTCTTGTGAATGTGATCCAACTAAACCAAATCCATGTGGTCCAGATTCAGATTGTATAAATAGGTATAATCATTGTTATAAGTATATAAATAAGTATATAATAAAAATTCCATTTATTTAATGTAGGATGCTAATGTTTGAGTGCCAAGCGCGATTATGTCCTGCAGGAGACAAATGCAATAACCAAAGATTTGAAAAAACGTTGTACCCAACTATGGAGCCTTTTTTAACAGGTGATAGGGGCTGGGGTCTTCGAATATTAGAGGACATAAAAGAAGGTTAGATATGGGTTTTATATGTTTTTTTAGAAAAATATTTAATGTATAAATATATATGTTATGAATGTTAAGGATCATTTGTGATCGAGTATGTTGGTGAAGTTATTGATGAAGAAGAATTCAAAAACAGATGTCTTGAAATGCAAAATCAGAATGAACATAACTATTATTTCCTGACTATAGACAACCACAGAATGATCGATGCTGGACCAAAAGGAAATCTTTCAAGGCAAGAATATATATTGGTTCAATATTACATTTTTATTTAGTTTCAAGACTCATAATACATTTATTATGTTTTAATATTTTATAATCATTTAGATTTGATTAAAAAAAAAATAATAATAACTAATACATAGTTATTTTATAGTTCATTTAATTATTATCTTTAAAAATTAAAGCAAGACATACTTACAGTACTAACTTTAAGTTTCTTACATTGTTTCGGTTCAAAGTTCAAACTTAAATTATATGTTATTATTGTTATTTATTTTTTATTAGGTTTATGAATCATTCATGTGAACCAAATTGTGTAGCTCAAAAGTGGACTGTTAATGGTGACACAAGAATTGGACTTTTTGCTTTACAAGATATTTCGGCTGGGACAGAATTAGTATTTGATTATCGTCTCCAAAGCTGTTCAGGAGTAGAAAAGAAACCATGCCAATGTGGAGCAACACGATGTTCTAAATTTATTGGTGTCAAAGTAGACAAGGTATTTAGAACTATTATTTTATTTAAAAAAAAAAGAGTGGTATTTGAAAATGTTGAAACCGTAGACTTAACACTAATGAATGGTGCTTAAATAGTTATCGAAATATGTTGTGTCATTTTGTAGTAAAGGTTTACACCCAAATTATTATATAAAATTAGGGTTTTTTTTTTAAATAAATAGGTTACAATTTGTTTATATAATATTGTACAATTACATAAATAGAAATGTTTTTAATAAGAAAAACTATAAAATTGTAAATATTTTCTAAAAAATTAGTATCTTGTGTTAAATTTATCACTAACTTTTTTTGTACTACCAAAGTAATATCGCTTATAGTATGACAAAATACTAATTAATGAAATAAATTTTTAAATAAAAAAGTTGTAAAAATTACAATCAACAACACGTAATCTTGTATAAAATTAAAAACTTATAGTTTTAAATGCAAATATCTTATATTTTTTAAAACAAGGAGGGAATTGGGGTGAGAGCCTTGTATATCGACTAAGATGGCAGGCAGATATTCTTTATTACTGAATGAATTATAGATAGGACCTATAAAAGAGGACAGGCACTCCATAGTGTCTATGCCCCGTCGTAACTCGAAGAAATTGGAGGGGAGAGCTAAAAAGTTTTAACGTTATAATCCACAAGTTTTTGCTTAGGTTATCTAGACAATAATTTTCTCGGGTTCAACCTAGGTAAAATCATTTTTGTAAGTAGACAACTACTTATTATGTTGCATATTCCTTGTGCTGGCCTTGCGGATTATTTATACACATTATGTTATTAGTTTACTTGAATTTTATTTATTAAAATTAAAACACTACTACTTGACAGGATGAAGAAAAGAAGAAACTGATAGCTTCTGATGAAGATAAAGCTAAAAATTATTCAAAGAACAACAAACGAAAGTCATCAAAACATAAGGTAACGTATGCTTAAATATTAAAAATATAATTTTTTAAGGAAGTGTAAATAAAGTTTTTTTATATGCACATATTTATAATAAGGAAAACAAAAGCGGACGATTTGTCAGCATTTTCAAAAATCAATCTAGTGCTATTTTCTGAATCTTGATTGATTTTGGAACAACTTGGGACCTGGTACATCTTTGTAGTTCAAAAAAGTTATTGCACATTAAAGTTAGTAGATAGGAATAATTTGCAAATGTTTTAGTATTTTTCTCAAAAAAAATTTGCCTACAAGAGGTCTATATTCGCTTTCCTTATTACATTTATGGATTCCTATTTCTTTTTCATACAACATTTATTTAGCAGAAACTAGTATTTGTTATTTGCTACTTCAGTTTACAGCGATTTATGACAAAGTAGATTTAATGTCTGTAATAACATACAATATGTTACATACCTTTAATCATTGTCATTTAAATGCTTGTATTTAATGGCTAATTAATGATCCCTTCCATTTTAATTGTTATTTTTTATTATATTCAATAGGCTGATACATCTGATATAGAAAAGACTGATGAATCTAAAAAATCAAAAATAAAACCATCAACTGTTGGAGAAACTTCTAAATCATCTAAAAGGAATACAAGTGTAGTTAAAGTATGTAAACAAATATAAACATCTGTAAATTATATTGTAATTATATATTATTTTAGAGTTTTTTTAGTATTTAGTATTGGATTCTGATACATATACTAGTGTATCAGCTATTCAAGTACTTTTTTTTAATAACCTGATTTGCTATTTGAGAAGTATATCTCATTTGTTGTATAAGATATTTTAAAACTAATATATAGTAATAATGTACTAAAACTTGGTTTCTTTCTTTTTGTGAACACTAATTTAGCTTATACTAATTAGTAATTTTACTTTAAATTTAAATAAAACTATTTTTCTATGTATTAATAAACCTAGTGAGTACTATTATTATAGTATAAATTGACAAGTAGTAATTTTGCATGATATGTACAAATCATATTTCATTATTAGAAATGTATTGTTGGATGCATAATAAGTAACACATCATGTAAGTTACATGAAGTATTTATAATTAATGGTTCCAGCCAGAAATATAATGGCATCCAATGAGGTTATATTCCTTGCACAATGCCAATAATGTATGACTATACTAGCGATATATATGAATTTTAAAAATATTAATCTGTCACATTATAAAAGCTTAATGTAATAGAAATCAAACTAATTAAATTAAAAAACAGAAAGCCTATGTGCCGTGTAACTAAATTATTATTCAAGAACCACTAAATGTCTATTGATTTATTTAATGTTAAATAAACATACGTACAATCTGGCACTAGTCATTATAAATAATAAAAAAATATATATAGTTTCCGATGTTGAACAAAACTAATCTGCTGCAGCTATTTACTGGTTGATGAGCAGTTTAAAATAACGACTACAGTTAAAGAAATGCGTACAGAGAAAATGCAAAAGTTAATATCGTTTTTTACTCTTATCACATTTAAACTCTAAAATGTGTTTGATATGTAGAATAATGAATAATTTTTTCATTAAACAATATTAATAGACGATATATCATGGATTATTTTTTCTTTTATAAATATAAGGATTTAACTAGTTAAAACAAATTTTATGTTTTCGTAAATGCACACATTTTTTTAGTTTAATGTTTTTTTTTAATAAATTACTATAAATTTGTCATTTAAGTTAGGTATACTAAATTGTACATGCTTTCAAAATATGATTCCAATATATGTCTTTTAAACTTAATTGGACCATATTTATATTTATATATTTAAACAATTTGCCTGGTTGGTACGGATTTTAAGCAATTAACTTTCGAACTTGGAGCATTTTAAAGTTAAAGCGTCACACTACTCAACTACTCATTTGTTTCAGTATAACATAAGTAACTCAATATTTCAGAGGTAATTATATAAAACATAGTTATAATCGCCAAATTATTTTTATTTTAACTTACACAAATTTTAACGTGTTAAAAATGTAAAATGTTTACTAATCCAGTAAAACAAATCGAGATAAACATGACTTATTTACTTTTTTTTTAATTTCGAAAATTAAGTACTTGCGGATACTAGTTTGACGACTGTCTAACTTACTACAGTTGGAATCTACTTCATTAAATTTTATTTCAAATTGATATTTGCCAAACTGTGGTCTAAAAATAAATGTATAATGAATCAAAAGTTCATCAAGATAATATCATAATTCCAAGAATGTTACATACATCGTTCTCAGAAGTCAACAAATATTATTGACTTCAATTTCAACAACATTATTTATCGATAAATATTATTAAACAATTTTAAATCGTTTTTAAAAAAAATGTTAACAATGCCATTTTTTGAGTCGTAAAACTGCTACAATTTTTTTTCTCGATTTCACAACTGCAAAATCATTGATGGTTTTAGTAGTAAATTTGATTTTTCTAGCTCTTTTATTTTCCATTGATAATAAGCTAATAATAAATAATATCTATCGATTTATAATATATGATTTATATTTGATTCTATACTGAGCCATTCAACCGTTCCTGTCCCGTTAAACTACGCAGATAATTTTTAGTTAAATTTTTTTTTTTTATCTTTCTGTTCTTGTATCTGTTACTGGAATAAATTAAACAAGCTGTGCAGACATTTTTAGAGTTGTCATCAAAGAACTAAGTTCTTTTTCTATTTCCGATTGTTTGTACCAATTATACTAACAATTTTAGGGTGGTTGACATAGGTATGACAGTTAAAGCAAAGCTATTTGAAGACAGTTGATGGTGATAAGATTGGTTAGCGATAAGTAAAAAAATATAGCTATGAAGAGTCGCCGCTTGCTGATTCTTTCCATGCCCCCAATTTAAGGGTAGTTTTACAATACTGAACCTATAGGTTAAACTACTTAAAATTGAAGTATAGTTGATGCAAACGGTCTTTGAAAGCAGATTTAATCAAGAGCAAATGCGAACGTAATAGTTGTGTGTTGTAATAATATAACTTGTATCAATCATTTGATAGAAGTATTTTTCTGGAATAATTAATCTTTCGTCATCTTTAAAGCTCGTCGAAGATGATGTAATGCGCATTATGCATCTTGTCTTGCTTTAGGCACTCCTATAGTTGCACCCGTTTAATGATTTTATCGCGAAATAGATAATATAAGTCTAAATTCACCACGTTATTACTGTTGGTCATAACATTTCAAAACTATTTCGCAAATTGTCGCATTTCTTTACATGTACTCGAATGAAAAATTAATTATTTTGACCAAGTATATTTAGGATTTGAAAACAATTGATATGGTTTAAGTTTTGAATAAACAATGTTTATATTACCTATCATTTTTTAATTAAATTTTTTATGCACATTTAGTTAATTAGGTAGATAGGTACTTTACTGTATTTTAACCATAATTAAATTTATTTTTATTGCAAGCCGCAGTAAGCCAAAGTAGCAAAATTCTCGGAAAACTTAAAAATGGTAAGTGCACTTACTATTGTCCGGTATAATTTTATAAAATAAATGTTACGTCAAATTAAGGTGGAAGGTTTCCCAAGTTATTAGAGTCTTCATCAATGTTATTTATAACCATACTAACACATGTCCTAAACATAATTGCTAAGTCACAATACAAGGTGGCTTTTTTTAAAGTGATCCATAGCTATATTCTCATACAGCATTAGGTAATTGAATTTTTTTTTCTGTTGCAATTATACACAATGTAATCCCAATTTTTTTCAAACTATGTTTTTAACCTCCTTCCAAACAAATTTTTTGTTAATGAACTTTTGAAACTTAAATGATAACGTATATATTTTATTAACTTTTTTTAATTAAAAATAATTTACTATAAATTTTAGCTATAACTTTTAAAGTTAGTGTTTAAACGTTAACATGGTAGGGGTAGTGCGGTTGAGGATAAAAATACTACATTCCACTCATCTCGCCCTAAACTTTAATAACTTCAAAAATAATTATCTAAAACTGGTTATCGACCAGTCATAATTTTAGAAAATTATTCTTTATTTAAAAATTAGATAAAATATATACGTTACCATATAAGTTTCAAAAGTTTATATAAAACAAATTTATTTGGAAGGGGATTAAAAACAGAAAAGTTTATGAACAATTGAGATCACGAAAACACTACAAAAAATAAGAATTCAATAATTAGTTACACCATAGAAGATATTCCACGGATCGCATAAAAATTCACACTGCATAGTTAAATAGTCAATATTTGTTTTAAACATATAAACTACAGTTTTATTATGTTTTTACTTTCAAATAATTAATTGATTATGCTGTAAAATTATAATGTTTATGTGATATAATAATCAACAAGTCGTGAATAGATAGTTGATGAGTAGATGGTCGTATAGTAACAACTAACAAAACCACTTAGGTAACCTAATATGAATTAATATAGCTCTGTAATTATAAAATGAATTAATAGTTTTTTATTGTCTTGGGTTTTTGTTAACCATTTATATTATTCATCAGTTTCAATTAATTAATTTTTATTTAATTTAATTAAAATTTTACACTGGCAAAGGATTAAAAAAGGGAGGGGGGGGTCTAAAAAATAATTTAAGCCAAATAACCCAAAATTAAATTAGGTGGTTGGTATCATAATTTTTTACTGTAACGCTAGTATCTACAATTTGTTTGTGATGTTTAAACAGGTACTACTCTAATATTGCTTAATATATTATGTTAATAGTATGTTACTAATGTATTATATTTTGATAATGTTTATTGTTTAGGGTGTTACATCATCAGAACTTAAAACATGTTCAAAAAGAACCAAAAGAAAGCTACGAAATAGCTTACTGGCTCAATGTTCAAGCCAAACATTGAAAACAGTATGCCTTATTAGTATTTTAAGCAGCGAAGAAAAAAGTAACTTTATTTTTAACTTTTGAGGAGAAACAACAAAATTTTGATTATGATATTTATTTCAATTATTTATGTATATATTTTATTTTTATACTCCCAAACCGTTTTTTCAAGAACAAAAAATTTATTTAAGATTGAGAAAACTGAAAATAAAAGACTACCGATTCGTTTTTGTTATCAACTACAAATTGATAAAAATTAAGTTACGTCTTTCTTCGCTGCGGCAATCGTGAGTAGATGTACATCTTTGAAATATAAGTATATTAAATATTTACGAGAAATTAGGTTTTATAAAATAAATGTCAAGTGTGTTTTGTTAAAGAATAATACGTTAAACTCTTAAGATTCGTTAGGGCCAAAAAAAAAAATTGAAGTACAAAAATTCTAATAGTTTATCTGGGGATCTAAATTAAAACAACTTATATTTTCAAAAAGAAAATATAAGAAACAAATTTAATTGAGTAATATTCATTAATCATATATATTTCTAATTTTAGAAACCTGATATAAACCAACAAAATGATGATGTAGCCAAGACTAAAAAACATGTAAATCCCATTAATTGTGAAAATAGTACACAAAATTCTTTAGTAATTATATATTTTGCATTTAATTATATATTTAATTAATTTATAAACACATTTATTAATGCATGACTAAGAAACACGAATCATAGTTTATATATATCTGTATTCATACTTATGCAATTATTTTTATTTAGGTAACTAATGTGTTATCTATAGCTGTAGGAATAAATTTGGAACCTAGACTGAGTTTAAAAAGATTGGCAAAAAGCAGGCATTCCTTTTTATCGAAAGTAAGTAGAAGACATTTTTGTAGCCAAATAAACAAGTACAGAGAAATCGGCACCTTAATCTGTGCCTGTAAGCTTTTGTATAATTTTGTTATGGGAATTAATTTTGTTGCAATGTTAAATTAATAACTTGTAAGAGAGCGTCCTGTCTAATGTGATACTTAGGTATTTTGGGTGGGTATTGTGTTTAACGTGGCGCCTGTAGAACATACCATTCAGCGTATCATTGGTCGGTCTATTGTTTAGATGGAAAGTAGAATCTTCTGTTTTGTTCGCATTCGGTTAGTTTTCAACAAATGAAGTATTTGTTCAGTATTTAAAAATCTGTGTTTAATAATTGGTTTTATATACCCAAACCCTTTCCTGTCAAATATTTTTTTTGCCTGAGACAGAAAACTAAAAAAAGGACTATTTGGTTTTAACCATACATTTTTCTAATTATAGGAAAATTATATGAAACAACAAATTGATGATACAGCCAGGACTAAAACTAGAAAACCAAAAAAACCTGTAAATCCCATAAATGTTGAAAAAAATACACAAAATCATATGGTAATTATATATTTTTCAATTAATAATATATTTAATTAATTTTTAAACTTATTTATTTAATGCGTGACTAAGAAACACGATTCATAATTTACATACATATATATTTATGCAATTATTTTTATTTAGGTAACTAAAGTGGTATCTGAAGCTGTAGGAACAAATTTGGAACCTAGACAAAGTTTAAATAGATTGGCAAAAAGCAGGCATTCCTTTTTATCGAAAGTGAGTAGATCTTGTAGATGACATTTTTCATAAGAAATATAATTATAACTATAATACATGATATATGTACACATATAATATTCAAGCTTCAAGAATTGGATATATTTGTTTTTGATTATTAGGTTAAGTTATCAATAAGTTTGCCCAAGTATTGATGACTTTTTCTCCAACATATCAACAATGATTTAATTACAATTAATATATAATATTAATATACTAATTAAATAATTAATACTAACATACATAATTAGTATTTCCTATGTCAAACGATACACATGTTTTTTTTTACATATTTCTCATTTCTATGAGTTAAAAAACTAGTTATATATTTTCATATTATTATTAAATTTTATCAAAATTTAATCAATGTAAGAGTTTGCTTTTTAAGAAAGTTGAAGTAGTAATGATCAACAACAAAATATGTATCTAAGATAGCATGAATAAAATAAGTTACATCCAAAATGATTTCATAATTATTGAACGCTATACATTTTATTATGCATACAATCTATAAAAATTTTGACTTCATCATAATTCAAAATCTTCAGTTTTCAACAAAAAATTGTTTGAAAATGTTTATTGATCTCAAATTATTTAATTGCGTTACTCTAATACAAATATGAAATTGTATGTTTTAGAATTTATCTGATGATAATAACACTAAAAGGAAAAATATTACTGCTATGATAATACCAAAAAAGGAAAAAAAATGTGAAGTGAATACTGTTCAGAATAAAAAGAAACACAGAGGGACTTTATATCAAAATAAATTTGTAAAATTTGTATACAAAAATAATTGCAAAGATATTATACATAAAAATAAACAAGAAAAAATATTACTTAAAACGAAAGTAACAAAAAAATTTAAAACTAATAAACATAGTTTACTAACTAAAGACAGTAACAAAAATGAGACATGTTTAGTTAGTGGAAAGAGGCACGCAAAATTGTCATGTAAAAACAAAAAGTGTCCCAGAGTTTCTCATCTTTGTTGTAAAAATAAGTCAAAATTAGGAAAATGTAAGTTTAATAGTTTTGTATGCAATTATAAATTTAATAAATAATATTGTTTGCTTTTAGCTAATTTCATCTGTCCATCTCAATTATGTTGTATTTGTAAGAAAAGAAAAGTAGTAGATAAATGTAAATTTTGCATCAAGTCATTTTGTATAAATCATGTCAAAGGAAATACATTTAAAGATCCAATAGATGATGGAATATTATGTATTACTCACTATTCAAATAATGTAAGTTAAAGAATTTAATAATTATTTACAAACAAACCTAAGGCGGATTTAAAGACTTTCTGTCTGTGTTATTAATAAAGAAAAAGACTGGTAAAGTAATATGACGCCCTCTTGAAATAGTTACAATATAAGCTAGGTTTTCACTAGGCCGGCTAAACAGAGGGGACGGCACAGTGGCTCTATAATGAAAGATTAGAACTTATCATACATATATATGGAGAGCACATACATTTTTCTCGAGGACCGTGTCACGCCTTGTTACACTGCATTGACCTAGTGGACACCAAGCTTATGTTACCTGCTCACAAATCAGTCATTGCATAAAACCATATTTGCTTTTAGAAACTGTTCTCCAACAAAAGTTATCCGGCAGTTGTTGTTCCAAAAGCTGTAAGGAAATTAAGCAATAAGACAGTGAAAAAAGTAAAACCACTTGTCACTGCAAGTATAACTCCTATTCATCCTACCAAGTCATTAACTGAAGTATCAATTCCATTAAATGACACAGCGGAAGATTTATCGCAACCACCACCTTATACAATTGAAGAAAAAGACTACATGCTCACACAAGTTATCAAAGATGAATCTGATCGTGAATTTATACACATTGGTGGCTTTAATGTTACCACTGTATCAAACCTAGTTGTAGAATCTAAAAGTAATTTATTTACTTCTGTCAATACAGATGGTGATATGTTGAAACCATCGTCAGCCAATGTTGTTATTGATATTGAATCTGCATCTGCTTTTTATCAACCCATAGATAGTTTGAACCTACTGACATTTGATTGTGGAAATAATGCTAGCCATGATTATGTTAATGTCCATTTTGAACCTGAAATAAGAACAGAATGGTTGGCAGACGCTGAACTATAATGCTAGTTTTTATTTTATTCTATTATTACATTTTTTCTTGTGAAACTTCAATTATCATAAGAATTTATTTTGTTTTATTTAATGCTTATGACACTTCTCTTTTCTATTTATTATTGTAATACAACAATAAGAAAAGAATACTAATTTAATATTTGCCATTTAAAATTATATAGTATTGTTTTTTTTATTTTGATTTTTTTTTTCTAATTTTATAAAATAATTTAATAGAACATTGTTTTTTTAATTTGTTAAGTAATATTTACATTTTTAAGTACATTTAATCTTATATAATATAATAAGTTAATTTAAATACACATTGTGCACATTACCATCTTTGACAGTTAATACGAAACAGGATTCTTACGATGATTTTTTTTTTTTTAATTCCCTCATCTTCTTTTGGTTCACCATGATACACATACAAAATTAATTGTGGTGTATACGCAGTAATGCATGTCTACTATGGACTTATAGTCTAACTGACAATGAAAGTTTATTGCCATTTCCATAAAGTAAACAGTGTTAACTTAACTATCAAATAATCAGAGAAAACATGTAAGATGTATTTATTTTTAATATATTAGATATTTTTTATTCTAATTTATTTAATATTTCTAGTAAATTCTCAATTTGAGCTTTAGTTACACTAGCGAACTTCAATGCACGTGAACTGTTCATGCTACATATTAGCAATCCACTTGATGTTTGTTACTTATTGCAGTTTGGGATTCAGGTCACGTGTGTTGATGAGCCTTTCAATTTAAATCTAATCGTACATTTTACTAGTGTATAATTTTAAAATTATATTGAAAAATGTTTAGCACAGTGTGATGTAAGTGATTTGTTTTTTAACGCTTTGAAGAATGTGGTACTATAATAGTATGTAAAAGTAAAACCATACATTTAGGAGATCAGAGATGCACTTCAAGAAAGATCTAGCTAGAACTTTCATTACATGAATATTTTAATCAGCGTGTTTTATATTTATCTATAATCGTTTAAATATTATAAATATATGTATACATACTAAGGTTTTGCCATTGCTGTTAGATTGGAGGAAAATTAATATATATCCCTCCAAGGGAAGAAAATTGTTTTTTAAATATTCTATACTATTGGTATATACCTATTAGATATGTAGCATTTCAATAATAGCTCATAATATAAATTTCTATACAAAATAGTAGAGACTGGTAAAATAATTATGATTTATGGTATGATCCGTAGTTACTATATAATTACTATCCAGGCATAGTAATTTATTATTTTGTTATATATCATCTTGTAGCTTAACAGACCTTGAAGGTCATCATAATATTTTTTGACAACTTTGATTTCAGAACAGGACCCAAACAGCAATGTAAATAAACATTAATTAATTATAGTAGGTAATGTTATATTAATTAAATAAGCAAGTAAATCTATTATAGTGGACAGTGGTTAATAAAATATTTTAAATAATTATTAATTTTTTGATCATATAAAATATATGAGATATTATACATTTATGTAACATTATAATGACATAATTTACAAAATTTAAGATTACACCTATTCACCATTCACATTTTAGCTTTGCCAACAGCCTTAACTCCTCCGGGTTGCGTTGCTGTGCTAAGTTTTATATTACTTGTTTCACTGTTGCCTGTAGACAAAGCCAAAGGGTGTAACCGAAAATGTTTTAATAATTAAATAACAATCCTATGCAAATATTAACCAATTTATTATGCCACTGCCATATGAAACATATAGTTAAGTCTAATTATACTAAATGAGTTCTATTCATTACTATTATGATAATACTTTATTACATCGAATAAACATGAATAACACAAATAAAAGTAATTTTATTTTGTGTTTTGTAACAAATATTTATGAGTCATATAAGTAGTCTTTTACAGTCAATATGGAAAAAATTAGGAGTTATTTTTTTTCTTGTGTCTCCTTCTTTTTTTTCTTGCAATCATTTCTTCTACAGTAACATCTACGTCCATTTTACCATGTTCATTCAGATCTCGTTGGAAAACACAAAGTCTCTTCATCATTGCTTCCACATCAGGGTTCATACCATTAAACGACAGTCTCGCCATGGGTATTACATCGTAAAATAACTCCCAACTATTACTTTTGGTAACATCCTTCTTTGTTTTGTGATCAGGCTTGGTGATCATCACTTCACACTCAGTTTTTACCACATCAGGATTCATGAATTTCATTTTCATCAAAGTCTTTGAGAAGCTTTTGCGAGGTTCTCCTTTCGTTGGCTTGACTTTTCCCATTTTGAACGGTCAACTAGATAAATTTATAATTATGTTACAACCGTATAAATGTTGGTAATTTGTAAAGACTAAAGATTGTTAGTTACTAGTTAGTCAATAGACTAAAATAATAAATGTATTACACTGTACAAATTAAAACCACAGATTATATGAAAATTAAAACCAAAATACGAATAAACAATAAGTGATAACGCGATAACATGAACATTACAATTTAAATGATAAGAAGTAAAAATATTAAACTTCCTACCTTTTGTTCGGGAGCACGCACGACACGGAGCCACTCGACAAACAGCCACCCGAAGAGATGCCAATATGTACAACACGTACAATATGTATGTAAAATGCATAGAACTATAAAGAAATAATATCTTTATAGGTCTATGATAAAATGCACGATTATTATTTGTGTATGTTGTGCGGCCGACACCACGTATTATAACGGAGTAATAGAAAAAAATGTAATTTCCAAATTGTGTATCAATAAAAATAAAAAAGAGTAACTTTGTAGAAAATATTACATTTTTATTAAAACCCCTATTGTATAGTAAACACTGTTACTATATTAATTGTAAACATTAAAATTTACTCAACAGGATTTATCGTTAACTCACGCTATTAATAATAATTATTATGTTTCTAAATTCTTTTACTCTATTATTATAAAATAATTATACATGTTTATATTATTAATACTTATTTATTAATATAATACATTATACATAGGCAAAATAATTATGTATATTGCAACGATATTAATTGAATAATACTGTAACTTGCTTTCATGTATTCCAATTAAATTACAAATATATTTTAAATATAAAAAAAATGAAGTTATTAAACATTGTTTAATTTGTGTGCATTTTCATGAATATCGGAATGAAAGATCCATGTATATATTATATATAAAACTAAATAGTATTTGATAAAGGTTTTTACTTTTTATTGACTTAAAACTAATTATTAGGTCACACAGTCAAATGTCAATAATTAAGATTTCCAAAATGAATTCTCCAAATATAATATTAATTATTTATAATTTTTTTGTTTATTTTTATTAATTTTTTTTTATTTATTGATATATAATTTTTAATATTTAATTTTGGGTATTTTGAACTAGCAATCAAAGTCAAAACATTCAGTTTTATAAATTTTTTTAATACATTATTTTCTAGTAATCACTAAAAATAATTTAGAATAGATAAATCAAATTTTAAATTAATATTTAAAAATAATTATATATAATCATGTATGATAGGGGTTTTATTCAAAATGTAGGCAATTCTTATGAGAAAAAAAAACTGTTTACCTGAAAAAAAAATATATAAAAAGTATTCAGATGCATTATACTTTAATATATTTGTTAATAACAATTGTTTAACCAACAAAAAGAGGTTTAATTAAATTAACTTAACCCTTTTAATACAATAATGAGTTACTTAGCCCCTTCATAAATAAAATTAATAAATCATAAATGGTCGATTTTAAATATTTAACCACAGATTAAATAAAACCATAGAACCATGTGATTTAACCATAGAACAATACCCTTTCTTTATAGGTCTATATGTATTTAACGCGCAATTTTAAACCGGCAGCCAGCGAGTGATAAGAGATACGCACGTGAACAATCTAAAATGATAATTCTCAATAACAAGTAGTATGCAAGTACACCGACAAATAAGTAATAATACGTTTTTAATTTTTCGTCAAACAAAGATCAAAGTAGTTCATACTCTGCTGTGGTTTCAGGTGGTACGTGAAACTTAAGTTAAAAAAAAAAAAATCTCCAATAAAAATATATCATCGATGAACCGCCCAATTTTGTTACCGGGTCAATTCAATGGCAGAGACTCTGCAAGAGAGGCAATCAAATGAACTAGAAGCATTGGAAGTAAGATTTATTTTATTTAAATTCGGCTGTATGACAATGACCACATCAGTTGAAGTCTACGATTTGAGTCTTTTTGTCTCTAGGCCATTTTTAACGATCAGCTAAAAAACAATAACGAATACAATAATGGCCATGAATGGAAGCCTCTAGATATCACTGTAACGGTATTCCCTGAAGGGGTCACTAATTTGAAGTGTAATAACACTCAAGTGGACTTACATATAAAAGCCTCTGAAAATTATCCCAATCAGTGAGTTGATGAACACTAAAATTAAAGAGTATTTTCGTTTTATTTACAGTATTGTACTTCACCATTTTACAGTGTACCATTGATTAATCTTAAAAATGCCAAAGGTATATCATCAAATTACTTATTGCACTTAGAAAAACAGTTGAATGATTTAGCCAACAAAATTGTGGGAGAAGTAATGGTGTTTGAACTTGTCCAGCATATTCAGGTTAATATACATTTTGTTAAGTATAATATCGACTCGTGTGGACTCTAAAATAAATATGTACATACATATACATATATTATGTGCAATATATACATATTTATATATAAAAAAAAATGTATTTTACACAAAAAAATAAGGCAAGCTGTCTGTTATCCAGATTACTGGGCACAGACTATTAATCTACTGTTAAGCATATTTTTGTTGCCAAAACAATAGTATAAATCTTCAAAAAAATAAAAAATTAGTTATAAACATCAAATTATAAAAAAAAATGTTTTGTAATCTAGTGAGACTGCCACGTATAATCATTATTTGAAGATCTGTAGTTTTGTTTGGCACGATGATATATGAATTTAAAAACAAAATAATGGTATGGACATCCCAGCCTTTGATCCGATACAATTCTTGTAATTATGGAGTATAGGGTTTGTAAATTGAACATTTTTCTTTGTGTGATATAACTGCTGTGTATTCATCTAAAACATTTATGTTAGCTATTCTATTTTTGTTGTCCCGTTGCTGTGACCCCAAAAATGTATAACTCGTCGTAAACCTTCAATTTTTTCGCTTTATACATATTTACAATGGTTGTACATACTTTGTGGGGAGCAGTATCATAAAGAAGTTCCATTTTTGACATGAACCCCGGATGTGAGCAACTGTTTCAGTGTTGTAATTTCACTACATTTTTTATGATTTCTACAATAGCAGTTGCCCGAACTACAATCTTCAGTCCTTCAATTTGACTTGGATTTCATATACATTTTCCATACAATTGTTCATTCGATGCTTGGTAAATGATTTTATTTGGAACCCAGTAGTTAGTTTGGGTACACGGTACAGACCATCACCTCTGAAGCATACTTGTCTAATTTTTGTATGCTCTTTAAGTCATAAATCTAAATATATCGCTGGTACTGTTATTAAATTTTAGCAAGGACATACTGGATACATTAATTTACATCAACTGCAATTAAATGATCATTGTGTATTTTTGATACTTTTAGCATACATGTGTTGCAATGATACCTCCCTAGTTATGTTTATTATTCTCAAACCTCTTACTTTTGATTTGCATAGAAAAATATTAGTGGAGTATGATTTATGTATGTTGTGTGTATAGGGTACTCCAATTTATGTCATATATACTTATCTCTAAATATTTGATAGGCTCCACAATAGTGATTGCACTAATAGTTGACCCATTTGACATAGTAAGATTGTTACTAAATAATTTGCTCCTTTTAACATAAATTACTACTAATTTGTGCAAAAACACTGTTAAATAGAGCTTGATCTGAAGACTTCTTAATTATTCGTCTACATACACTTATATTATAAGGGTCATTGAATGCCAATTCTTAAAATCCAAGTAATTTTCTTTACACTGTTTTGTTTTAGCATTAGTTTAGCAAAGTTATATATTGCTAATGCTTCATTAACCTGATGAATAGTGAAAACAACGATGCCATCTAAGCCAGAAAAAGTATCAATAAATATCAGTATAATTAATTTTTCAATAAATCTAGTTTAAAATTATCAATATCCCTCTTGTCTTTGGGAATCAAAGTTATCTTTAATGGCATTATTAGGAGTATTACAAACTGTTCGATAATATTCTTCTACGTCATAAGTACCATATTTTAAAATTGTATATTTAGAGTTGTGTCTAAAAGATGTTTTACATTCTATGTGCTAATAGAATATTGTCATTGTACTAAATCATACGAGTATGACCATTATTTACTCATTGTTTCTGTCATTTAGATATGCGCTGAGGATTCTAATAATTTCTTTTTGTTTTATGTATCTTTATATTTGAATAGTCCACGGTTACACTTTTTATAAGAAAAAACTGCAGGGTAACAAGCTTACGATAAATAATAACTTGCTTCCTACAAAAGTTGTCGATAATTGGAAACGAGTGTATCAACATTTTGAATACTACCATCTAATAGATCAATTTTACATAGATTTTTAACTATGTAGCAAAATTTACAGACTTTTGTTACAGTTTTTAGATAAACATTGTCTCTATGGATTAGCCCTACAGCAATAAATTCCACTTCTGAACTATTGTCACTTAGTGTACATTACTATTTGTGATAAAATTTTAATCACATTATTAATAAGTTATCTAATTTGCTGTTGAAATAACATATTTATATAACATATTATCCAATTATAAACGTGAATTTCAGAATTTCCTCTCACTTATTAGCAAGCCTCAATATGAATCGGTTTATGAAGAAATGATTTCAAGAAAACAACGAAAAGAATTGGAAGAAATACAAACAAAAAAACAGGAAGAAGAACTAACAGTAATTTATTAATATATTAGTTATTGATTAACAATTAGATTAATGACTAATATAACATAACATATTAAAAAATATTTAGAGACAACTTATTCACAATGAAATGTCAAAAAAACGAGAAGCTTTAAAAAAAGAATTACGAATGCACAAAAATAAAGCAAAAAGTACATGTGAATTTTTATTAGAAGATGATGAAGATTGTTTTGATTTAAAGTAAGATGTTCAAATAGTAACAATAATTTTTATTTTAACGTGTGACAATGGTTTAACACGCCAAACTTAGTACCAACGATTTAAGGTTCGCAGTACTGTGAAACAGTCTTTGACTGTTTCTTAGTTACAATTTTCTCCCTTTTCAAGCAAAAGAATACAACATTATTTCCCTACCATATGGGGTTTTAATATTTTTATTGGAAAGACATATTTACTTAGCCACAACATTTCATAATCATAATCATAAGCACACCCATGTTTTCCAACTTTCCTATTTGGTTAGACTTAACTTATATAAATTTCTTTTATATAAATTTGTTTGAATTTATTTTTGGTAAATGTTTTTTTTTGAGAAAAACTCTATAAAGTTTTTAAATGTTGGCATATTTTTATTTTACATACTTCAGGAATGAGACTTAAACAAAAATTAAAATAAGAGTGCCCTTAATCAAATAACTTAATTTTTTTTCTCTTAAATACATATGTTTTCGAACTTGATTAATGTTTGGGTCTCTCTTGCGTTTTGAATTCTCGCGACAAGAGGTCCTTTTTCCCTTGCCACCTTACATTGTAAAACAACAAACAAAAATGTTTTCAAAAATAAAAACTACAAAATTGCAATAATTTTAAGAATAAATAAGCACCTTATCCTTAATGAATTATTCTGTATATATTATATTGCTACGTGTGTGTAATTGTTAAATAACTGTATTTTATTTTCAGAGAATCTACTGAACCAAACAATGATGTAATGCCAAACAGAAGAAATCAGCTAAAAGTAATTAACTTTTTTGTTAACACTTCGATAACTAAGGTCATTACGGTTTACAGTTGGGTTGTAGTTAAGCTTAGAACGATTAATTGTGAAACATGAGTAGTTGGGAGTTAGGCTTTGTTGCTAAAATTTATAATAAACGAATGCCCGAGAACTAGCAGCAACTCTGGTGTAACTGTGGTTGACTGCAACAATTTGCATTTAATAATAGTCTGTACAATTAATTATATATTTATTATTTCTCATTAATGATAATATGACAATTAATAGTTATAAATAAAATAGTATGAATAAAAAAGTTTAGTTCTTGATTCGTGAACTAAAAAATAATTAATTTTAAATTCATTACTCTACATTTAACTGCTAACTAAAGTGTTCAGATGTAAGAGTTAAACGTTGAAAATCATTATGTATTTTTTATTCAACAATTTTAATGCTTAAGAGGGTAAGAGAGAATAATTCAAACTATTAATTTTGCTAAATATTAAATGTTGTACTTTGCTTTATTAATTTTTAAGGATCATATTATAGATGAAAGCAATTGGAGTGATGGCGATCATGATAATATTTATTTAAATTTTGTATCTACCGGGTCAAGACTTGATAAGGAATTTGTTATCTTAGATTGGCTTGGTAAGGGAGCATTTGGAGATGTTCTTAAGGTAAATTTTTTCAACAAATCGTAATTAATTAATATGCATTGTTTTTATAATATTCTGTATTTTTGAACTGTAGGTGAAAAATAAATTGGATGATTGTCTTTACGCCATAAAACGTATAGAACTAAATAGAAAGAATAAAAACCTTAATAAAAAAATAACAAGAGAAGTAAAACTTTTATCACGGCTGAATCATGAAAACGTTGTTAGGTATTTCAATTCATGGATAGAGACAGCCAAAGTCAGCCAAGAAGGAACTCCAATAAAAAATGTATTTACATTTTTTTCAAATGATAAATGATGTTTCAATTTTTTTTTTTTATGGATATTGGTTTTATTTATATTTTTAGAAACCAATGAAAACAACTGAATTGTATCCCCTAAAAGATATCAGTTGTGGTTGGAGATTATCCAATTTAATCGAGGAAATTAATTGTAGCAGCAGTTCTGAAGATGAAGATGATGATTGGATATCATTTATGTAGGTGTTTGTTTGATAAACAATATTCCATAGTAGCCTAATTTTTTTTTTTAATTATTAATTTTATATATGTTAAGACACCAATCCGGTTCAGAAAAATTGACTGATATTTCTACTACTAATTCACCAGATGATAGTCGCAAAGAAGATGACGAAATCTGTGATAGAATTGATCAGTTTATGTATATCCAAATGGAGTTTTGTGAAAAAAGTACTTTAAGGTATATGAACACAGTAGTATATTATACATTTTTATAATACAATTAAAAAAATATAATTAATAATTTTTTCCAGAAATGCTGTTGATAATGGTTTGTATAAACAACCAAAAAGGGTTTGGCGATTATTAAGAGAAATTGTTGAAGGTCTATCGTATATACACCAACAAGGAATAATACATCGCGATTTAAAACCAGTGAACGTTTTTATTGATGTAGACGACCATGTTAAAATTGGAGATTTTGGTCTAGCTACAACAATTATTCAAAGGTAAGGAATATTTCAATTGCACAACTTTTTGTCTTGTATTTATGTGAAAAAAATATTTAATAGACACATACCAGACATAGAATCAACAAATGTTCCGGATTTACTAGATATTGATACATCTCAGACAGGAAATATTGGAACAGCGTTATATGTCGCTCCTGAACTAAATAATTTAGGACCCAAAGCTGTGTATAATGAAGTTAGTTATAACAGCTGTTATACGTAAATTTGTTTCCAAAATGTGACAATTTTTTTTTTAGAAAGTAGATATTTACAGTTTGGGCATTATATTTTTTGAAATGTGCCATGAGCCGTTTGGAACTGACATGGAGAGAATAAAAGTACTGACCGATCTTAGAATGTATGATTGTATATTACCTGAAACATTTTCAAATACAGGAGATCCGTCTCAAAAACATATTATTAAGTAAATATTAATGTTATGTAATTTATTGCATTATGTTTTATTGATTATTGAATAACAGATGGTTATTAAATCACGATCCATGTAAGCGACCAAATTCAACGGATATATTACAAAGTCAATATGTACCACCTCCACAGTTAAAAGACACTGAACTTCACGAAATGGTTAGAAATACTTTATCAAATTCCAAAAGCAAAAATTATAAACATCTTATTGCCGCATGTTTCAATCAAGTAAATATAATATTTAAAAATATCTAATTGCTCATAATTGTTCTTAAACATTGATGTATATAAACTATTTTAATCCACAGAAAGTTACTGCTGTTGAAGACATAACTTTTACAATGTCCACTGGCAGAAATGTTCTTCATCATGACCGTCTTGATAAGATTATTGATTTAGTTAAAGAAGTTTTTCAGCTTCATGGTGGAGTTTGGTTGTGTACGCCGTTGCTAATGCCTGCACTAAATGGCATAGTCAAGGACAACACTGTTACTATGATGGCAAGGTGGGGGGGTTTGACTTGTGTACCACATAACCTAAGGATACCATTTGCTAGGTTTTTAGCCCATAATCCGACAATTTCAAATTTAAAACGATATTCAATTGATCGCGTATACAGACAAAGACGAGTTTATGGTGTTCACCCAAGGGAACTCTATGAAGCCGCTTTTGACATAATCAGCACATCTCCAGGTGCATCATTAGCTTAAAACATAACATTCAATGTAGTATCATAGTATAACTTATTGTTTATTGTAAATGTTCTTAGGTAATTTGATAGCTGAAGCAGAATTATTATCCATAACAGCAGAAATTTTAAACAAACTTAAAGATTTCAATCAAAGTAGTTGTACAATACGTCTCAATCATACATCATTAGTTCAAGGAATTTTAATGTATTCTGGAATTGAAAGAGCTCGACATTTAGAAATATGTAGTCATTTTACAAAATTCAAAGTAATTAATAACCTATTTATACAATAAAATGATTGTATAATCTTGGTAAATACATTTTATATTTGTTAATATTATGTTATTTCCTGTGTTCTGGCTTTTAGAAGAACAATTTAACACCAGAACAAATTGAAGAGTTAGAACTTTTAGGTTTTGCTAATCATCAAATAAATACTGCGATGAATTTTTTCTCTATGGAACATAATTTTACTGATATGGTAGAAATTTGCCGCAAGATAACTATGCGTAAATCTAAGTGTGGTGTCTTTTGTAAAGAAGGTTTGCGGCAAATTGAAACAGTCATAAAACATATTGAAAACCTCAATGTACAGGTATTTTAAAAGTAATATTTCATAAGTAAATGGTGATTAAAATGTAGTATGTTCACAACATTTTACCTTGTAGTTGTCCATCGTAATAATGCCTGGAATGTTAGATAACATGCAGTTTTATTCTGGTTTGATATTCGAGGTAGTTTATTCTAACAAACACAAGAAACATGTTGCTGAATATGATGTCTTAGCTGCCGGTGGAAGATATGATAAACTTATATCGGCATTCAGGTTATTTTAGTATAAAAATATTGTATAATTTAGTATAGATAATATAATTTTATTATAAATAAATAAGTTACACTAATTGATTGTCTATCTATTTTTAGGAGAAACATTGATTTGTCTAGTGACATAAAACAAACTGCAACAGGTATTAGTTTCTCATTAGACAAACTATCTGCTTTGTTTCAAGCTGAATCGTCCGGCATTGATGTCATACTCTGTTCATCTTCTAGTGATAGTGCAATAACTGATGAAAAATTGAAAATTGCTAATGAATTATGGAAAATGGGTGTTAAGTGTTTAGTTTTGGACGCAGAACAAGTATGAATTTTACTTGAGGAGTTTAAAGCCATAGTAGTTTAAGGCACATTTTCGTAAAAGTTGAGTTAAGTATTGTAAGTATATTTTAAGAAGTCAATTTATCGAAAGGCAAAGTGAATTAACCAGTAACATATAACTTCTACCACCAGATGGCAGCACAGTACAATACTATATTACAAGCACAATACTAAAATTTTTATAAAATCTTGTTTTTCTCTAATTAAGATTAATGTGATTTAAATCACTATGGTTTTAAACCCCTCGCATAATAAAAAAAATATTTTGAATTAACATTATTTATATTGTTTGAAGACATTAGAGCAAATTCAAGATTATTGTCAGGAACTGTGTGTAATCAATATTGTCATGTTAAAAGATACCAAATCTGTGATATCTAGACGTCTTATGGAAGATAAGTAAGTTAAACTATTATTTTAATTTTAACAATAATAAATAGTGAAGCCATAACTAATTTTTTTAGGTTTCAAGATAAGTTGATGAGTGTAACAGAATTTTTAGAATCTATTAGACGTAAAAACCGACAGAACAGTATAACTAATAATACTATTCAAATAAATACTTCAATGAAAAATGATAACCGATCACTAAATGAGAACCAGCATGTCAACATAATTTTTTTAACCGAAGAAAAAATATCGACAAATATCAAACGACGATATGAAAGCCAAGTATATTTATTCAACAAACATCTGCAACACTTTTACTGGTCTTTAAACAAATCATGTTTATTTGTGTAGATTTCAAATGCTGTTTCCAAAACTCTACAAAAGTTATCTTCGAAAATCCGTATAGAAATATTAGCCCTTAACGTGGATGTTGAACTTATTAAAGCTCTAGGCTCGTTATCTGATCTGTCTAATATTCAAACTGATATTTCGGCCTTAGCAAAAAAGTAAGAACAAGATTTAATCCAAATCAATAGATAAATTAATAAATATATAATTTTATTTTAGATTTTCGCATCATAAAAAAGATTTGTACAAAATATGTGATTACCTCATTGACTTTAAGCAAAAAAACATGAATATGGTTTTCATGTTCTATACTCTAAGAGGAAATATGTTTAAACTAATGATTTGTTGATTATTAAATAAAAATAAAAATATTATTTATATTTTTAAAAAAAACAAATTGCACTCTATTTTTTTTATCATACTCGCATGTCAACATGTGATATATTTAATCGAAATTCAATAATATTTACGCTCAACAATGATTATCAATTAACAGATATTATATTTGTTTACTACCAAATAATAAAAAAAGTTACAAAAGATATTAGATAAAATATTCACACTCTAAAACGAAGATACTTCTTTGCACTGCCTAACGCACAAGCTCGTTATTTTAATTTTAAAATAAGTGAAGCAATAATTAAATTTAAACATAAAATCTAGAAGTTGGGTTAAAGGTTTTAACTTTGAAATAAGAATTTTAGCGAGATAGACTTAATAACCATTATTGGCGGTTATCTTTTCTTTTACATAGATTGAATATATAAAATAAAGTAAGTAGTTAACTCAACAAAAAAATGTATGCTCTACAAGTATTAACCTAACCTAAAGGAATATTACAAGTAAATATATAAAAAAAGCGATATGGTACCTATGCAATATAACTCGGTTGGTGGTACTCCATTGATACAATTTTTCACATAAATCTAAACCTTTCACGCCCCCTCCCCTCAGTTTTAACTCTTAAACATTTTTAAATTTAATATTCAAATTGAATGTAAATACTAAAATGCAGCATGCATAGCAGAATATGACATCTATAAAAACAAACTGTACGGAACTCGTGCATGTTTTTAAGGAGACATCATTTACCCATTTTTTAAGGAGTTGGGTATAGGAAATTTTTTGCAGAAACTTAACTTAAAAATTACACTGTGATGTGTAATTATTAGTTCAGTAATTAGGACTCTTTTTTGTTAGTTAATTTATTTTTCGGACTATCGCAGTATTCTTGACAGCAATTTAAAAAAAATATGTCATCTAAATATAGCTAGGTACGCATATTTTTTACTATTGACTAAATGACAAACGTAGAAAATTATTTTTTCATTTTTAAAATAATAAAAACTTTATCTAAGTTTTCTTGACGGCTTTTGTTTTTATTATTCAACATTCGCAATTTATATTTTTATTCTAACACTTTTTTAAGTGCTTGTATTTAATGCAAAATTTTAGTTTTCTAAATAAAACCGACGAAAGGACCTAGTTTCTCTTTTTGACGGTATCAACACTTTTTCTATGGCTATTTCGCTTTGACTCATTTGCTTTTTCTTAAACTACGATTTTGTTATCCAAATTTGGTAAAAAAAATAATAAAACTTAAAAAAAAAATTCTGCATTTAAACCTAATTTCAAATTATCTCCTAAGCAAAATCCATTATTTTAATAAACATTTTAAATTGACAACAATTTAGCAAACCAAATGTCTAAAAATCAGATTTACCAAAATTTTTATAAAATAAGAACGCCTCGTGGAATAATCGGATTTCAAAAATGTATTATTATTATTAATTTTATTTTTTTGAAAGATTTATATGATTTACACATAGGAGTTCAATTTTTGATTTTATTACAAAAATTAAAAAAATATTTATTTTTGAACTTTAATCACGACGGTACAAATTAAATTTTGAAAAATTGTTGGCGAAAAGTCCTATGCAGACCGCTGAAGTGTTCGTCTTTCAAATAAACAAAAAATCCTAAAAACTTTGCCAGTCGTCATCATCACTTTTTTGGTGATTAGTTATTGCACCCGGCACGCAGAGCGCTGAGAGCAATGTCTGGATGATTATCATTGAAGTTGCCTATCAATTAGTATACTTGTCTATGGTCATCACCTTTCCCATAGGTCATGGTTTTGAAGAAATAAAACCGAATAGGTATTGGAGTACCTTAATATTTTTCTTATACTAGCAATAATAATATAAAATCATATATTATGAATTATTTAATACGGCATCCCTGAAGGGCGAAGACGACTGCCAAAAGTGAATGTTGACTATCAAATAACGTTATAAATTATAAAATAATGTCTAGTTTTAGAACTACAGAGCATAGGGTAAAAAGTTTTGTGATTATTGTTGCCCAGTGCATTCGATTAGTGTCTTTTGATAAGGTTAATAAACGAACAAGAGATTATTTCAACAAAGATTGAACAAACTATCCATTGTGGCGTGGGACTTGACCTGATATGTCCGACGAACATCTTTATTTCTTTAAAAATTAAGCAAACATCGGTATTGAACATATACAATTTATAACCGGTTCAATTTTTGTTTAAAAAAAATTTCTTTTCAGGGGTTGCGTTTAAGCAGTAATTTAGAAAAAATTAACCATAAAAACCATAATGTATGTTTAAGGGGATTGCCTGTTTTTTGACGTTTTAGACCAAAAAGCCGGACAAAATGTCGGCTACTTAGAAAGGTTCGATTTCAATTCTGTAAGCTGATATGAGTTCTTTACTAAATTATACGGCTTCTTTACTAAATTATGCCGGTAACAGATTTGTCAATTAATTTTTTTATGTGTACAAATTGTTTTTGAATTTTGAAAAATGTTCAAATTAATTATTTATTCACAAGAAACTGAATTTTTAAAATGAAAATAGGTTTCCTACGTAACCTAAAAAAGTAGTCAACGAACTCGAATCTCTCTACAAAACTGAAATTCTAAGTAGGCGTAATTTTGTCAGGTTTTTTAGGTCTAAAATAACACCAAAATAACGTTTACTCTTTGAAAAAATTGTAGAAGGTAAAAATAATATCTTAAAGCTTATACAAATTATTCTGAAAATAAACTAACATGACCGAATTTTGCTTAATTATTGCCTATATAAAACTCCTTAAAACCAGTCCGCTTTAAATTCCCTAAGTGGTTTCTAAAATAGTTTTTGAAGCAGTCAAACGGATATAGATTTACCAATTCTAGTATGTACATTATGCACCGTCGAAGTAGATACATATTTTAAATTTAATATTACTGTAAAAATTATTAAAAAATTGCAATTTACTAAAATAATTAATTTACTTAAAATACATTAAAAATTTTGCCACAACCGATGCCTTGTAAATGTTATGAAGAATTCTAATGTTTTTTCAGGACTGAAATCGAATGATTAACAATAAACTTATGTTTTTGTACAAAAATGGAGCTTAATCTTCCATTAATTTTCGATAAAATCGCATTTTGTTTTTATTGAGTCATTATATATATAGATACAAATATATAAATATTTTAAATGTAAAAAAAAATTCTAGCGAATATGTACGACGGGTATTATTATTTTATTAAAATATGATCTCTGGTCTGTTGCTAGTACGTGAATACTAAAATATAATTCACCGTGCGCGTACCCGTGGGCCATAGCCTAGCGCAATATTTATCATGTTAATAATGAATAACGTCGTGTTCAGTACAATAAACATTTTTGCACGCCAACAAGGCGGTGTCAAGGACGGTCGTTCGGTGTCCCCTCCATCATCGCACACACACACGAACACACACACGCACACACACACGCACACACACACGCACACACATACACACGGATTTGGCAACTAATAATACACTCGTCAAAATTAAATGAACGTTTCAAAAAATAAATTCCACATGTTAATTTAGAATTTGTAGTTTTTAATATGTATATTAAACGCGTTTAACAATAAATTGTCATTTTCCGGATGGCAATTGAAAGCAATGTCATTTTAATCAAATTTATTTACTTATTTGTACGGTTATAGTTTTAGTTTTATCAAATCTTTGGGAACCCTTGACGAACGCTCGGTAATTTTACATAATAAATTCGATCTTTCGGTTAATACGTCGTTTGTGTTACCTACCTACCTATTTTTTACAATATAATATATTATGTGCAAATCATAATTGTATACAATTTTAAATAGATAAATTAAAACTTTTTGTCAGTACTGTTTAATCTGTTGAAAATTTATATGTTATTGCGTGTATTTTATAATTTACTTATCACAATATTAATAATTATCTAACTTCTAGTTATTGTCTTTAACCTAAAAAAACTAATGGTTTAGTTTTAAAAAATATTCTAGCTATAGAAAGCCAACAAAATTTTAAACTTATACGCTCTCATATTTTGTTTCTTTTTTATAATTTCCTATTCTTCTTCCCTCTTCGCCTTCATCCCAACTATTTGGGATCGGCAATATTTTTTTTTTATTAAAAGTAAGGCATAGGCATAAATGGCGATTATATAATTGGTATATAACGATGTTGAAATGTGTTGTCAAAGTATGTACCTGTTAATCTCGTTGTATGCACTTAACATGCAAAACATAGTTCAAACCCTAACGTGAAGTGTTGTTTGTTAACACTTTTTTTAATAATTTTTTATTTTTTTTTTTTGCATAAAAATGGTTCAACATAATCGGATAGATTATATTATAGTCATATGACTGTACACCATAATATATAGTCTATACCGACGCCATGGCCACTGTTAATTGATGTAGGTATATATCGATTATCATTTATCATAATATTAGAGCTAGACAATTATTCCACATAAACCTAACATTATTTTTACTTGTCAATTCTTATTTTGTATTATTCAATAAACGCCTATTTTTTTTTTTTTTGTAAACCACTATAAAGAATAAACCGGTACGCGTTCACAGAAAACCATCATGTAAACAAATCGTACATTTTTTATCAAAAACTCGGTGAGAATCTTTAATTTTTTTAATGAACTTAAGAGCAATATTGGGACGGGGGGTATGCTTGCACCTTAAGTTTTAGTTCCTCCTAAATTATTTGTGCCTCATACCAAAGTAGAAGATATGGGAGGAGGCTTCATAATAATATCACTGCTTAAGTGCTTTAGTATTTTTAACAAATGTACACCCCTGTGCGTGAAACAGTATAGGTTTGTAATATTTTTGACAGTTTGCAGACAGCCAAACAGCTTATTTGGTTATGGGCTATATTATAATAGGTATTTTATCATTTAAATAGAAAGATAATAAACGTTATTTCGTTATCGGCCATTTGCACCGAGCGTGCTGAAACTAAGGTCCTTGAACGACGCTAATTTGACCA